TCTATTTCTTGTCTTATTCTTGTTCAGATGATTTCAATTTTAGCTTGCAATTATATACTACCTTTAAGAGTTGAGATCCCTCTATAATTCATAATGGGAAAGACTGTACTGAAAGACAGGTTTTTTTTAACAAACAAAATTACTTTGAGCAACACTATAATTATGTAAACTTGTAACATAAGGCCAAAAAATATCAATAAGATCTTTTTACAATCATGTACATGATATGGGAAAATGAGAATGTGAAATCTAAATTGTAAAACAAGTCACCTAAAATCATTTTTATGAAATGATATTAAAGTTCAACCAACATAATTTATAAAAGAGATTTTAAATGTTTTCTTTTTAAATAGAACTATTCAAAATTTAACGGCAATATCTTGAAAGGTATAATAATAGGAAATACAAGGGGTGGTAACAAAGTTTTAATCAATAACTTATGTCAAGAAGGGGAATTATAAATTATATCAAAATTATTGATAAGTTATTTCCCCTTGCCTGAAGATGGTGATAATGCTCAGTAACATGTACTCCAAGGGACAAAGCAACAAAATAATTAGTAGAATTTGGGGTGATACAAAAATGTTAAACAAAATTCTCTGATTGCCTTTTGTTATGAGTCATGCTAAGAAATAACCACAGACTATTGTTTTGCTGAACACTGTCATAATAGAGGTGATATAAATGATACATTATATGTCGTGGTTATTTCTACTGGAAATTTATATTGACATGCCATTCTTGACCCGATGGGCTTATTTATGTACTTTTTGTAAAGGGTCACTTGACAAAGTTCTACATTCAAATATCTAAGCTCTGGGTATTGTAACTTCACATGTGTTTTCCTATACAAATGTGCATGTCAACATGTATATAAACTAAGTGACCATTTTAGCCAGGCCAATTTTTACCCAAGGGGTATGATTTATATAAACTGTATGAGTGGACCTCAAGGTGATGCTTTGTGACATGCTATATTACTACTTTAGCTCTTTGTAGTTTCACAAAAGATAATTTTAAAGGTTTCATTTTAATTTTTTGATCTATTTATGCATCACATTGGAACCATTTATATAACTTGTGTAGGTCAGGTAAGGATCACTCTTGTGGAGTTTGGTTTAAAATCAAACAAGTGGTTTAGAAGATGTTGTGTAAAGAAAATGTTGTAAATGAAAAAATAATGAAGAAAACCAACTTGCTATTACAAAAGCTCACTTCTGAGCACTGTCATGACAAACACAGGAGGGTCGCGGTAAACAAGAGTCATTTTGCTAGGTGATTACTTGGAAGTAAAATGTCACTTACCACCATTGAACGAAGAACAGATCGAGACTGCTTGAGACCAGCAAGTGTGCAGATATTCTGCCCATATGGTTAATTCTGATGGCCAGTATAAATATGTCTGGACAGATAAGTGGGTAGTGGTCACAATGGCTCACCTATACCACTTTGGGCCTGGCAAATTCATCCAGTCATTTTCCAGATTTTTAAGAAAACGTTAAAATTTTCGTAATCTCAGCTTTTCAACAACTTTTGTTTGTTTTGGGTTTTACGTCACATCGACACAGTATAGGTCATATGGCGACGTTCCAGCTTTACTGGTGGAGGTAGACCTCAGGTACCCTTCCGTGCATTATTTCAGGCACGAACAGGTACCCGAGTAGAACCACCGACGTTCCGTAAGCTAGCTGGATAGCTTCCTCACATGAAAGAATCCAAAGTCCCTGTTGGGATTCGAACCCACAGAGGTGAGGGGCAAGTGGTTTGAAGTCAACGACCACGGACGCCCTTTTAATAAATGTGTTTAAAATGATAAAATTTTACAAAAAAGGCCCATAAAGTAAAATCAGAATAAAATCATTTAATATGACTTGATACTATTATTTACTTGTGTAAAACTAAGTACAAAAATAATACCAAATTATTCCTATACACGACAATGTGTATAAAATACACTTTTAAGTTTGTTTATAAAAATTAATTAAAATATTGTCTGCTCCATGCACAACAGATTTTGAGATATTAAACATATACAACAAGATAAGAAATTCTTGCTCTCTCTAAAGGTACGTAAAGATTGTCTGTTCCAGTTACAACCAAAATTTTATCACTTTTAACCAGTATTGACCAGTTTACAAGTATAAAACCAGTTCTGATCACTGACCCAGCCAATACTTATAGCAATATTGACTGGGTTTTTTTGCCAACAATGATGTTTAAAAAAGTTTTTAAAGGAACTCCACTGAGGTTTCTTGACGTGATGGGACTGTACATAATTTTTCAAGTTTAATGTTTCATTTGATGAAGGTCTGGACTAATAACTTGTGTGCAAAATTTCAGATCATTCCCTCAGTCTCTTATTCCAGAATAAATATTCTAATTATGAAACATTTAAAAGCCTTGCTCATATCAGGTTATGAATAGTATAAAAATATGATTTTCAGTTTAATTCTAACTCTTATTTCTTACTTTTCTTTTGCATATCTCTCTGTTGTAAGAGATCAAGCTGATCTATGAAGGAAATCAAATTTTATATTTTTAGACTATTGGACCTCAGCAGAGTTTCTTCAATGTGCTCTTGTGTTCCCTAGGGAAGCTATGTCTCTGATATATAGAGAATATTTAATAATCTGTTTAGGTTAAAATAACATTGTAAATTAGTATTCTTATAATGATATAATCATAAACCAGTCAGCAGTTATCTGACAGTAGTAATATTTAAAACAAAAACGTAGTCACCAAGAATTTAAACATACGCTACTTTGAGGTCCACAGACCTTTCTGTCTCTGAAGTTTCTATCTAGCTTTTGTGCCGAAGAATGACGCCTAGGTAATTATCACAAGTTAAAAAACAAGAGCTGTCAGAAGGACAGCGCGCTCGACTTTTTTAGTGCTTGCCTATAAAACAAAACTTTGACAGTTAAGGGCACACAAGACTTTAACTAGGAATTTCTAAGTACAAATCAAGAAACATTTTCACAGAGTTATCTTCTCTTGCTTACAGATAGGTCTCATGATGGCACATAAGAACTCCAACTTCCAAAGTAATATCTCAAATGGTTAGGTCAACAAGTGGACAAGAATGAAAATTTTAACTGAGTTTCTAAGTCAAAAAGGGCCATAATTCAAATAAAATCCTTAACAGAATTACCTTCTCCTGCCCATGTTTGGGACCATGATGGGTAAAACAAGTATTCCAACTTTCAATTTAAATATCTCAACCAGTTCAGTCAAAAAGTTGACTGGTACAAAAAAACTTAACCAAGATTCTAAGTCGATAAAGGCCTTAATTTTTAAAACAAATCCCTGACAGAGTTACCTTCTCTTGCGTACAGATGGGGGTAATGATGTGAAATAGCATTAAAAGTTTCAAAGCAATATCTCAAAGGGTTAAGGCAATAAGTGGATTTTACCCATATTCAATGTATTTTCTAAGTCAAAAAGGGGCATAATTCTGTCAAAACCTTGACAGAGTTATGTCCTCTTGTCTGTTGATGAAGGTCGTGATGGTAAACAAGTATGGTCAGTTTCAAAGCAATACCTCCAATGGTTTTGAAATAAAGTGAGGTGGTACAAAAAACTTAACCAAGCTCAATACACTTTCTAAGTCAAAAAAGGGCCATAATTCTGTCAAAAACCTTGACAGAGTTATGTACTCTTGTCTGTAGATGGAGGTTATGATGGTGAACAAGTATGGTAAGTTTCAAAGCCATACTTGTAATACTTCTGAAATAAAGTGGGGTGGTACGAAAAACTTAACCAAGGTGTGACGCCAACGCTAACGCTAACGCCGACGCCGGGGCGAGTAGGATAGCTCCCCTTTTCATAGAAAAGTCGAGCTAAAAAACTGTATAAAATATCTAGACGTGACATGTTTTAAAAATCAAAACAATATGAAACTAGAAATGTGTCCATAGGACACGGATGCCCCCACACGCCACTGTTCTGTCAATCTTATGACTCTAGGTCAAATATTTTTTAGACTACATGTGCCACAAGTTGAAAACTAAAAATCAACAAAGTGCCATAATTCTGTAAAATTTGGTCGCAGCAAAAATTCCTTCCTTTACTACCATCTACACATTAAGGTTGTTCATCCCTAGAAGTTTAAGCAAAATCTGCCATCCGGTTTAAGAGGAGTTGCGTTCACAAAATTTCTTTATGGTATATAGTGAAAAAATTAACAAAGGGCCATAATTCTCTTAAATTTGATGTCAGCAAAAATACCTTCCTTTACTACAATCTACACAATAAGGTTGTTCTTCCTTGTAAGTTTAAGCAAAAAATCTGCCATCCGGTTTAAGAGGAGTTGCGTTCACAAAATTTCTTTATGGTATATAGTGAAAAAATTAACAAAGGGCCATAATTCTCTTAAATTTGATCGCAGCAAAAATTCTTTCCTTTACTGCCATCTACACATTAAGGTTGTTCTTCCCTGTAAGTTTAAGCAAAATCTGCCATCCGGTTTAAGAGGAGTTGCGTTCACAAAATTTCTTTATAGTATATAGTGAAAAAATCAACAAAGGGCCATAATTCTGTTAAATTTGGTCGCAGCGAAAATTCCTTCCTTTACTACCATCTACACATTAAGGTTGTTCATCCCTGTAAGTTTAAGCAAAATCTGCCATCCGGTTTAAGAGGAGTTGCGTTCACAAAATTTCTTTATAATATATAGTGAAAAAATCAACAAAGGGCCATAATTCTGTTAAATTTGGTCGCAGCGAAAATTCCTTCCTTTACTACCATCTACACATTAAGGTTGTTCATCCCTGTAAGTTTAAGCAAAATCTGCCATCCGGTTTAAGAGGAGTTGCGTTCACAAGATTTCGGGACGTACGGACAGACGTACGGACGGACAGACGGACGGACGGACAGACGGACGGACAAGTGCAACGCTATATGCTCCCACTTTGTGGGGGCATAAAAATTCATATCAGTAAAATAGTTTTCAGTTATCACTTCAAATTATCGTTTGTGTATTGTTACTTTTGATGTTGTCGTTTTTGTTCTTCTGTAAATAATTACAATATTTGATTTAAAAACAGGCTTTCACTACTCTCCTTCATTGCTTAGTAACGAAATTTCTTCTAAAGTTTCATCATCAATTCCATTACATTGCGACTCTTCAAGAGATTGATCTCCCTTGATCTGAGCAAGACTCCATCTATCTTTGTAGTTATGCGCAATTGCTTCCCCTGATGGAAATGTTGACATCTGAGATTCTGCCAGCTCCCAACCTTGATTGCGTAAACACTCTCCGACTTGTAGGCGTACATTACTTCCGGTGAGAGCGATTTCCGTAAAGTCTTTCCCGGTGTTCAGTTGTAAACGTTCACGTTCAGCTGGGTGAATCTGATGCAAGGATAAATATTTGTGTATAATATCTCTGCGCCCCGATATAATCGTCTTTATTCGAGAATTCATAGTAGGCATGGTTGCTAGGTTACCTGTACGCACCTCGATCACTTCGAGATATCTCATGCGTATACGTTTTTCAGGCACAGGAAGTCTTAACATTTCAATATGTTCAATTAATGATGTGATCTGATAGAAATCAGCTTCAACAGTCAACTGATCCAGATCTTTAAAATCACAGGGTAGCGCAAGCCTTGATGAGCGTAAATAATTTAAAATGTATTTAAACAATTCTCCATCTCGGTCTATAAAAACACAACCATTTTCATCCAGGTTTGTCGACATGCTTCCATTAAACATGGCTCCAAGCATAGAGTTTGGGTATTTACACAAGGTAGAAGTCGTCGTCGTGTAAACAACACCACCTACATTCAGTTTTACTATTTCAGAGCTCGCCATTTTAAGGCCACTTTTAGATCAACTCAATTGACACTCAAATAGTTATGATATCAAACCATTTTGATGCGTAGTTACTAGTAAGTTATTAATTGTAAGCTTTTCAATTTTATACAATGACACAAATATGCATTTTTGTTGTTGTTGCTTAGCAACTTTTACTAATGAATTAATAAGGAGAGACCTAGGAACAAGATTTTGGAATAACTTTTTGTCAGCTGAAGATCTGAAGCTGTTATCCTTTTGCAGTTTTTATAATGAACATCATGGTAACATCTGCAATTAGAAAAAAGAAATATTTTAGAATAAACTAAATTTTACTAATGATAAAAGAATAACATGTATCTAAGAACTAGTGGGAATAAGGTAAACCGAATATAGCATGTGATTCTGTATCAGATAAACGTTTATCAGAAAATATTTCAATATATGATGAGATTGAGATGAATGAGATTTTTCTTCTATTTGATAAGAGAAATTTTTCCAAAACTGTTTGTCAAAAATTTATTTCAAAATATACAATTATATATGTATATACATTTTCTATACTATTCCGTTGTCTAACAATTTGGATGATCTCAGAGGAGGTTACTACAGAAGTCCAACTTATTGTACTTCGCATCTAGATATTGTGCTAACTTGTGTATGGGCAAGATTATGACCCAGAAGATAAAAATATCTCGGAATCTAAGCTTTGGCACATCAATATATTTATTACAGTCAAGTAACTAGTTCCGATACAGGACCAGTTCTGATTTCTTCAATGCCGTTTCCATTGAAAAATTTCTGACATTTGAATCTGTTGGCAGCTCATTTTCTTATGAACACTGATGAAATGATGGTTTTCTAGAAAAATGACATTGAATGTGACGTGTCGAAACTGGACCACTGATGGTATAATGCAAGATGTTTAAGAAGCCATATAGCTAAGTCAGCTGAGCTTTGGAATGGTATACTGAAGGTCCCTGGTTCGAGTCCAAGTAAGACTGCACATTTCTGTCCCCTGTAGTGATTACATTGGATGATTTACTAGAGTGGATATTGACCTAATCACCGTTTTTAAAACTAAAGTGACGTATTTCTAGCCTTTCATCGCTAGAACCTAAACTTGACAAAATTATCAAATACATGTAACATAATATAACAAATATGAGGACAAACAACAAAATTAAATACATACAAATTGAAATGTCTTCAGCGTCTTTTTTTTCAGTTGAAGCACTGTAGGCGACTTTCATAATTAAAAGATTTTACGACGCACCGTCTGGAAAAAAAACAACATTGCAATATTAAGTTTTTAAAACCTTATTTACTCAAGAAGCGATGTAAAACCAACAACAAAATAAGAATTGAATTTGGTTGAGATGTTTATGACTTTCATTTCAAAATGATATACAGTAATCTGCTTACTGCTACTTAGAAATTTGACAAATTTCGGTGAAAACAAATATTTTCCCGCGAGCTGTCAAGTCAGTGTCACCTGATTACCTGACAGACAATAATTATGGATAAGGCTTCTCGTGCAATAAGAAGGTAGGTTATTGTGAAGTTCCTGTTGTTAAATAGTAGATTAATGATGCCTAATTCAACAGTTCATTTTTTTCAAGTGGGAGGACCCCCAGACTCCCCCCACCCTTAAGCTGTTAAGGGGGGGGGGGGGGACGGAGTTTGAGTTTGGACTTTCAAACAAGCCCCCTCCAAGCCAAAAATTTCCGTATTCCGCCCTGCAATCTGAAATCAATCAATGTGTCACTGTCTTACTGCCCTTATTTCATAAATTTGCCAGTCAACTTTTTATTGTCTGTTAAATTTTTTTGGTTTGCTTTATAACTAAACAGTATCATGGTTGTATGCTAGCAGGCACTTCCCCTATAGAATATCTTGGATTCAGTAGTAAAGCTTCATTAAATTTACCTAAAATAAATAATCTTCTTTTTAACAATAACAAGATTTATTTTCAGTACATTGTATATTCATATTAATAACTATTTTCAATATGTGATTTTATAAGTTATATAGAATATCAGAACATATAACACTGTCAAATGATTCTCCAGATAAAAATAACAGTTGTACATCTGTTTTTCTGTTATGCTATATTCTTGCATAAAAACTTTGCATGCAGATATACATTAACACTAAAAACAGAGAATAAAACATGCATTTTTAAAGCCATTAACGGATTTTTGTGACCACGCAGTGTTTTTTTTTCTTTATATAACTACTACCCTAAAACAGTACTGTTCCCAATAGAAAATAGACATTAAAATTACCAATTTCCAATGTTTAAATTCCCAAAATGGCTGTTCAAATTCCTACAAGGCCAACTGATTTCTCTGAAATCATTTAAGTCCAACATTTTCATATAAATTACCACTCAATAGTTCTACCTGGACAGTGGAAGCTGTTAGCTATCTTTATTCATGGTGACTAATCTTATTTGTAGCTGAAAAAATGCATTAAAAAAATTCCCAATTTAAGTCAAAATAACGCATTTTTTCCCAATCCGTCTGGTACCGGCACATAATTCCCAAAGTAGAGAAAAAAAACGCTGCCACGCATCATCAGATCATTGTTGCACATTTTCTAATATGCGTGACTCAGGGTCATTGTAAAAACAGCTCATTACAATGATGGTCCCGCCTCCTTAGTTTTCTTTAATATCTAAACATAATTGTCAAATGACATCGCACTAGCACATAGAAAGCATGGCAAAATTAAGATAACAAAAAATGTGGATATACAGATTAAGACATATGTGGCGCAAATGCATGTCCGTGCATTGATATCTGCAGAAGTCCTCAGACTTATTTAATCTGGAGGCCTGTGGGCTTTAAATGCATCCTCATGCTTCTGTAGATGTTAATGCATGGAAAAATGTGCATTAACCCTCTATTATTCAAGCCTAGCTTGATGTGTTTATGATTTAAACTTTAAAATATTTAATCTTTGCTCTGTACTTAATATGCCACTTTGATCATAAAGTGTCAGTGCAAAAACTTGTTTAATATAGGTTTGTACATAATAGATATCTCCATATAAGTTCAAGAAAATGATTGATCTTTTATTGTATTGCAGGAGTGGTGTTAAGTTGCTGTCTCTGAGTGGTGGGCATGGTGACCTTAATGTACTTGTGTCTGATATCAAGGATATAAAGAATTGTGCTAAAGCTTTCATGAATGCTCAGCACCTAGGTATTTCAAAGTTTTAACAAATTCTTGATTGTTCTCACTTATTCAAATAGTTTTTGTCCCATGAATATAGTACATAATTTGCTCAATTGTGAATTACCATCTGGTGTTATAGTGCTATGAATATAGTATGGCTACATAATTTGTTTTAGGTAAATTATGCAATCTCAAGGAATTCAAATTTTCCATTAATTTTAATCTAAAAGTTTGAAATTCTAAAATTTGTAAGCATATGAAACTCAAATTTTTCAGCCTCTCAGGATATGTCAAGATGGGCTTCACATGAAGAAAATAGGGCTGTTCAGGTTAGTTCTACTTCACATGTTACTATTATTAGACTGTTAATTACATTTTATCCATTTGATAACATTCACTTTTATATAATTGTATAATGGACTTACACTGCTGTCTTTTGTTGTTTAACATTATTATTATTATTTATGACAACAATTAATTTGAATAACCTACAGTATAGAGCCTGGTAAGACTGTATGAATGTGCAGACTGGTCATGTTGTTTACTAGCTCATAGCAAAAAGACAAGTAGCTATTAAAATGTTAAAGGCACATTATGCCTTAGAAACAAATGTTTTTCCTTCTTTACAAAGGGCAAACATAAGTTTTTAAAAAATATATAAATAATGGTTTAAGAGCATGTTAGATGTTTATTGACAAAAGAGTATCTTTTGAAACAAAAAAAACAACAAAAAACTTTTTGGCAAATTTTGGGAAACAATAAAAAAGCATAAGATTACTTTAAATTCTGTGTAAAATATAAAAAGTTTAACCATTGATTGATGATGAATTAATGATTATTTTTATGATCCTACAAAATTAAACTCATTTCAGTCCCTTGTATCAGCATTGTCCCCATTTTATGCTTCTTTTATTTATTTTTTAACGAAACATGTTGACCTTTAGCCTTCAGGTGTTTACTGATTTTACCCATGCCACCAGTGGAGACTAAGATCAGGGATATCCATGCTGTCTTATCATGGTCTGCACTGTTCACAATTCAGTCAGTGGTCTGCACTGTTCACAATTCAGTCAGTGGTCTGCACTGTTCACAATTCAGTCAGTGGTCTGCACTGTTCACTATTCAGTCAATGGTCTGCACTGTTCACAATTCAGTCAATGGTCTGCACTGTTCACAATTCAGTCAATGGTCTGCACTGTTCACAATTCAGTCAATGGTCTGCAATGTTCACTATTCAGTCAGTACATATTTTGAAAAAAATACTCCTAAGATAATTGATTGGGTGAAAAGTTGTTAAGTTCATTTATAATATTTAGCATGGTAAAAGTTAAAATGGAAATTAATTGTGATCTGGAAGAAGTTGCTTTGTATATTTAATTGTTTTCATGTCTTTTACAGGATGTTGTTTCAAAAATTGCAGAGCTTTTGCAATTGTGGTCAGAGGTACAGAAAACATTTATAGGTACGCTGTTGATCTTTTTGTTTTTTATTTCTTATTTGTTTGATTTTGATGAAGCTTAAAGTGAGTTTTCTTGATTAGAAGATTGATTTAATGGATAGTATTAGAGTAAAAAGTCTGCTGGGCTAAGAACGATTTGGGGTGTTGTTTTTACTTTAAGTAAATGAACTACAATGTACTTTACACTTTGTAAAAGAGTAATTTTCTGTTTAATTAACAGGAAATTTAAAGGATTACAGACAGTTGTTTGAAATGATTCTAGAAGGAGAAAAGAATGTATCACAGGCTAAAGATAACTTGGTTTGTATTGGAAATAAATATATTTAAGTTTTTTTTTCTATACATTAAACTTGCTATATATAAAGTGAACTGCATGCTCAATTTTGAAAATTGTCAGAACTGTTGCAAAATTTAAAACAAAAAGTTTGTATTTCCTATACTTTTAAGTAAACCATCAAAATCCTACAAAATTTTGCAACAGTTCTGTCAATTTTCATTTCATAATAAAAATTCTGAAAAGAAACCTGTAAGAATGTTGTATTATGTTCAAGTAGGTGTTTGTTACAGTAAAGGAAATTAAATCTGCGGTTGACAGTCATGCAACAGATTAAATGGACTTTATGCTGACTGACTTAAAAACGCTAACTGTTAAAGTATCATGCTCATTTTTACGCAGTCATTAATAATTTCCAAATGATATCTATACATATTTATAATGGTTTGGGTGGGGGGAAATGGGGGGGGGGGTCATTTATTACTCGGATGATGTTTATTATAAAATTGAAAAACAAAAATAACAAAATGTATGGTTATTTTAATTTTAACTGTACACTCGCCATTTACTCTTGGAGGGCTTATATAATGTCACTTTAATGAACTCCTGTTTTTAATCTCTGCACAGCACTAGTATGTTATGCTGATTTAACAAGAATATTAAATGAAAAAGCTGGTGCTCATTAAATGTATCAAAAAGTTTGAAAAATGAAACAATAACATGGTTTCAGTCACTAAGACCTTATATAGTTATTAGTACATAAAGCATACTGTATATTTCAGGATTACTATCAAGAAAAAGAAATGAAAGGAAGGAAGGAGATGAAGAAAGTTGCCAAGGTAAAATAATGAAAGTTAGACTATATCTTAAGAGATACTAGTAATAGAAAGAGCACCGAAACACGAGGCTATCTGATTTGTACGAGGGGGCGTAGCCCCCCCGAGTATTAATCAGATTGCCGAGTGTTTTGGTGTTCTTTCTCTTTTGTATCATAGTCAAACATAAAAGCACGTTCCCTGTTGTCACAATATGAAACCCCGGCAAAAATGAACCAATGAACGAGCATCTGAATATGACATTTCTGTCGCTTTCCCTTTCCCTGCCGTCACAATATGTAAACCCCAGCAAAAATGAGCCAATCAACGGGCATGCTCTGGAGTGCGGGTAACTAATACCCGCACTCCAGTTAACGCACTGTACATGTATATGTATACGATTTAACCCTGACACATTTTCAACAGAAAGGTCTCCAAACTATAATACAAGTTTGAATATTAAATCCTTGGTTTCCTAGTGGCAGCAACGTGTTGCCATGACTTTTACATGCCACAAGGTCAGAGCCAGGTCAGTCAGTACATTCATCAGTCTAAGCAGACACTGTATTGTTTTCATTATGCTAGATTTATACTGTAGATATATTAAATGCCTTAGCACATGATTATGCAATGGCGCAACAGTTTAAAAAAGGCCCATTTGATAAGAATGCTTTACTTTATTTGCATCACTTTCTAGAACATTTATATTCATAGCAGCAGGTGTTTTGTGCTCAGTGACAAAAAGTTGCCACATACATGTACTTTAGCACAGACTTTTTATATTTTTATAAGTCATTCAGGGTCATTGATACCAATACTCTTAGTGTTTAAAATTGAATACATATTAAAATTGTGCTGGGGGGATTAGAGATGCTGGACTTAGTAAAAAAAAGTATCTGTCATAAACAGACCCAATTAAACTGCAATTATCTATTAACTGCTCATTGCTTTTGAGGGATATATCCCCTTTGAAGAGTATTTATTTGGTTCCTGTGACAAAATGTAATTTAAATTCATGTCTTTCCGTATTGAATTTATTATAAAGCTTGTTTAATAAAAATCATAAAATACTTGGCTGTTTACTTAGATTCAACTTATTAGTCCCCTACCGGTGTAACCGGAGGGGACATTAGGTTTACCCTCCGTCCGTCTGTCTGTCTGTCCGTCCGTCCACAAAACTGGATCCCGCTATAATGCAAAAAGTACTGAAAATATTTTAATGAAACTTTATATATGGATAGATGGCAGTATGGAGATTATGCACGTCTTTTTCTTTCCTTCCTATGTTGAAAATTCTGGTTGCTATGGCAACTAATAGTCTGAAAATATGGCTAATTTAACACATAAACTGGATCCAATGATAACTCAAAAAGTACTGAAAATATTTTAATGAAACTTGATATATGGATAGATGGCAGTATGGAGATTATGCACGTCTTTTTCTTTTCTTCCTATGTTGAAAATTCTGGTTGCTATGGCAACTAATAGTCTGAAAATATGGCAAATTTAACACATAAACTGGATCCAGTGATAACTCAAAAAGTACTGAAAATATTTTAATGAAACTTGATATATGGATAGATGGCAGTATGGAGATTATGCACGTCTTTTTCTTTTCTTCCTATGTTGAAAATTCTGGTTGCTATGGAAACTAATAGTCTGAAAATATGGCAAATTTAACACATAAACTGGATCCAGTGATAATAGACTGAATTTCAAGATTTCTGATTTAAATTTTTAAGCTTTTTCACTATAAGTTCTTTATTTCTTAAGGTGTTTACTTCAAACTTTAAATATAAGTTTCTGGTCGTCAACCACATCATATGTGACAATATTTACAACTCTAGCACAAAAATTATCAGAATTACCTCCCTTGAATTTAGATTTTTTATGAAAAAAATGTTGTCTTTTTTAAATAACTTCTTTATTTCTTAATGTATCTACTTCAAACTTCATATATATGTTTCTTATTATCACTCAACATTTTTGAGAAGGTTAAATACTCTAGCAAGACTATTTTCAGAATTATGTCCCCCTTGAACTTAGATTTTTTTTCGAGAAATTGGTATTGTTTACTCCAACTTCTTCATTCCTTTAAACTTAAAGTAAAACTCACATCATATATGACAATGTTCATAAATCTAGCATCTTTATTTCAAGAGTTATCTTCTCTTTAAGAATTTTGCATTAAAATATGTTATATTTTGGTAACAGGGATGTTTGAAAAAATAACTTTAGAGTCTCCTTCAGTCTGTCTGTCTGTCTGTTCATAAAAACTGTTTCCTGAGATCACTTTTAAAGATTTTTTCCAACAAATTTACTTAAAAAAGAGAAAAGTTGAAACATTAGTTATTCTTATTCATCCTGAGAAAATTGGACCTTTTGATTATCTGTTGTATAAACATAATTTCCTTACTAGGCAGGGAAACTTTACTGTGATGTAGACAAACTTAGAACTCAAAAGATTTAAGTTCATTCATGTCATTCATTCACTGGTAAAATTGAATGGCCAAAGGCCCATCAGAATGTTGCTGGGGTTCTAAACGGTAGGGGACTTATGGATTGCTTGCAATACTATGATAATTGCTTGTTAGTCCCCTACCGGTTTACCGGAGGGGACTTTAGGTTTACCCTCCGTCCGTCTGTCCGTCCGTCCGTCTGTCCGTCCGTCAGTCCGTCCGTCCACAAAACTGGATCCCGCGATAACGCAAAAAGTACTGAAAATATTTTAATGAAACTTGATATATTGATAGATGGCAGTATGGAGATTATGCACGTCTTTTTCTTTTCTTCCTATGTTGAAAATTCTGGTTGCTATGGCAACAAATAGACTGAAAATATGGCAAATTTTACACATAACCTGGATCCCGCGATAACGCAAAAAGTACTGAAAATATTTTTATGAAACTTGATATATGGATAGATGGCAGTATGTAGATTATGCACGTCTTTTTCTTTTCTTCCTATGTTGAAAATTCTGGTTGCTATGGCAACAAATAGACTGAAAATATGGCAAATTTTACACATAACCTGGATCCAGTGATAACACAAAAAGTACTGAAAATATGTTTATGAAACTTGACATATGGGTAGATGGCAGTATGGAAATTATGCACATCCTTTTTTATCTTCCTATGTTGAAAATTCTGGTTGCTATGGCAACAAATAGACTGAATTTCAAGATTTCTGATTCTAGTTTTTAAGTTTTTTCACTATAAGTTCTTTATTTCTTAAGATATTTTCTTCAAACTTTAAATATAAGTTGCTTGTCATCAACCACATCATATGTGACAAGGTTTACAACTCTAGCACAAAATTTATCAGAATTACCTCCCTTGAACTTAAAATTTTCATGAAAAAAACATTGTTTTTTTAATAACTTCTTTTTCTGAATGTATCTACTTCAAACTTCATATAAATGTTTCTTATTGTCACTCAACATTTGTGAGTGTTCAATACTCTAGCAAGACTATTTCCAGAATTATGCCCCTTTTGAACTTAGACTTTTTTTTGAGAAATTGGTAATTTTTACTCCAACTTCTTCAATCATGATAGGATTTTAAAAATGTTATATTTTGATAACAGGGATGTTTAAAAAATAACTTTAGAGTGTCCTTCAGTCCGTTTGTCTGTACATAAAAACTGTTTACTGTGATCACTTTTAAAGAACTTTTTCAACAAATTTACTTAAAATAGGAACCTAAGTGAATGGCCAATGGCCCTTCAGAATGTTGCTTGGGCTCTTACCGGTAGGGGACTTATGGATTGCTTGCAATACTATGATAATTGCTTGTTTAATATGGCATGACACTCGTATATGGGATGAATGATTTAAAATGTATTTTATTATTTCAGAGAGCATCAGCAATAGAACTAAGAATATTACAGTCTAGAGTTGAGATGGCAGAGAAAGCTAGAGAATGTGCTCAAGTTGAATGTACATATTTTTCTCTATATCTTGATTATATACCAGTCAGTTGCAACCCTATCCCCTCATCTCAGGGAATTGCAGACTTTACCTTTGGATTAAGAAATTTTAATGAAGACCTTGCCCTGCAGGGGCAGTTAAATGTTAAAATACCTGTTAGATATCCACCTTCCTCACTGCTGATTGGATATAGCCTTTGCTATTTAAGTACCAAAATAAAACCAACACATTCATGTGGCAGCATGGGGATAGACTGGAGGAATAGTCTTGGTTCATTTGCCTCACTTTCCCCAGCACAGTCCCTGGGTTTGGGGCTATATTACAGATTGGGGCTCAGTAAGGCTGACTGTAGTATTAGAATATTATTATGCTCCTCGAAAAATTTCGGAGGAGCATATAGTCGGCGCCTTGTCCGTCTGTCCGTCCGTCCGTCTGTCCGTCCGTTGTCTTGTCCGGAGCATAACTTGAAAACCCTTGGAGATAATTTGTTGAAACTTCATACAGTGGTAGAGGGCATCGAGGGGGAGTGCAGTGTCAAAGAACCATAACTCTATTTTGCCCGGTTTTTGAATTATCTCCCCTTATAGAAAAATCTTGTCCGGGGCATAACTCTAAAACTATAAGAGATATCAACATGAAACTTTGTAGGTGAATAGATCTCAATGCGTAGATGTGCAGTGCATAAGAACAATAACTCTTTCTGTCCTAATTTTGGAGTTATTTCCCTTTGTTTATTTTAATACTTTGAACTTTGTCCGGAACATAACTTGAAAACCCTTGGAGATAATTTGTTGAAACTTCATACAGTGGTAGAGGGCATTGAGGGGGAGTGCAGTGTCAAAGAACCATAACTCTATTTTGCCCGGTTTTTGAATTATCTCCCCTTATAGAAAAATCTTGTCCGGGGCATAACTCTAAAACTATAAGAGATATCAACATGAAACTTTGTAGGTGAATAGATCTCAATGCGTAGATGTGCAGTGCATAAGAACAATAACTCTTTCTGTCCTAATTTTGGAGTTATTTCCCTTTGTTTATTTTAATACTTTGAACTTTGTCCGGAACATAACTTGAAAACCCTTGGAGATAATTTGTTGAAACTTCATACAGTGGTAGAGGGCATTGAGGGGGAGTGCAGTGTCAAAGAACCATAACTCTATTTTGCCCGGTTTTTGAATTATCTCCCCTTGTAGAAAAATCTTGTCCGGGGCATAACTCTAAAACTATAAGAGATATCAACATGAAACTTTGTAGGTGAATAGATCTCAATGGATAGATTTGCAGTGCAAAAGAACCATAACTCTGTTAAGCCTTATTTTTGAATAATCTCCACTTTTAGAAAAATCTTGTCCAGGACATAGCTGTAAAACTATAAGAGATATCAACATGAAACTTTGTAAGTAGATAAATCTCAATGGGTAGATGTGCAGTGCACAAGAATCATAACTCTACCTTGCCTAATTCTGGAGTTATTGCCCTTTGCTTATTTTTACTGTTTGAATTGTCCAGGACATAACTCGGAAATCATAAGAGATATCATCAAGAAACTTTGTAGGTTGATAGATCACATTGATTAGAAGTGCAGTGCAAAGAACTGTAACAGCCTTGCCTAATTTTGGAATTATTGCACTTTGAACTTTTTCCACGGACATAACTCTGAACTACAAGAGGTGTACTTTCCTGTGTCCAAAACCTATTCGGGGAGCATCACCCGGCTCAAACCGGGCTCTTGTTTTGTGATGTGCTATTTGTCAGTTAACCACAAGATGCCTGAAATAATGCACAGAGGAGAACCTGAGGTTTTCCTCTACCAGTAAATCTAGAAAGTTGCCATATGACTTTACTGTGTTGGCCCAATGTTAAACAATACTTTTCATTTTTGATAATTTTGCACAATTAAATGATTATTATGGAAAAACTGAGTAAGCAAATGATCTAAAAGTTTGGGCACATCAAATGGTACATGTACATTTGTAAGTAAATCTTACGCCTCACTTGAGTCCCTGAAAAGTCTAGGTTAGACTGTAGATACAAACTTCCAGCATTGACTTGTTATTTATGTATTACAGTAAATGAGAGGTTGAGAGAAAATGAAGCAGTAAAGCTGATAAGAATGAAAGAAGGGCTGTTAAAAATGTCCTCATCATACATTGAAATGGCTAATAAGTGTAATACAATATTCATGGCTGAACGGGTAAGTAAAATTCTCATAATAAATGTTAGTGTGTTTCTAGTGTTAAACTTAATCTAGTGTCTTCAATTTTAAACTTGTTGACATAACTTGCTCTTCTTTGAATTCAGAGACTTTCATTGGGTGTCTTCTGGAGTTCAGTATTAAATTGATAGAATTAGGCAGGCAACAGTATAGGGTATGATCAGTTTGAAATACCAGCTGCTAAGCCTGGACACTGGTGGTTTTCTACAAACGATAGTTTTCTTCCTCTAAGAAAGCTTTTAAGATGCTCTTGACCTATATTGGCTTGGCATAACTTTATGTACATAACTTCATGTTAACAGACTCAATCAAACTGAGTCTGCAATTCTCTTGTAATTTTGTTGTGATTGATGCTTCCGAGGGATCACTTAGCTTCCAGATTTTTATTATAGAATCAGAGTTAATAATTAAGTCATTTTCAACAAAACACAGAAGAACGAAATCCTACTGTTGTGATATTTTTAAAAGAATGTCTTTGTCATAATTTCTTACCCTGAGTGAATTAAAAAAGAAATTAATGATCAGGACTTTATCAGTACAGCTTAAATAGTACATGTATTTCAGAGTCATTAAAGGTATTAATCCTGATACTTGTACATTATACGAGTATACTGGCATTACTGGGACATTTAAATAGTACATATATTTCAGAGTCAGTATAGGTATTAATCACAATACTTGTACATTATATGAGTATACTGGGACATGTTGTTTATGTATTAGGTGGTAAATTTCAGGACATTGCTATACAGTTACCAGATGTACATGGCAGAGAAATTCAAAACATCAAATACTCTGGTAATATATTCCATCTTTAAGTTTTCTAGTCTGCATTTGTTGGATAAATGGATCAGTGAATTAATATTTACATGTTAAATTAATTTTGAACTCCTTTTAAAAGAACTCTAAAGAATTTTTTTTCAAACTAGCATGATTATTGTGTTTCTGTATGTTAAATTACATTCATTTAAAAATTTTATAAATCAGCACCTTTTTGAAATTGGCTTAAATTGAATTTTATATCAACTTATTAATGACTGTCAGTTTGTGTGGTGATTGGTCAATGCAAGGTCATTTGTATAGCTCACAATTTTTATTTTTGGTGAAATGGTTAAAATTTGAAAATGAAAAGAATAAATTGCTTTTTCCAAGTATAAATGTACCTTTACAATTGTATTTTTTGGTATTTTAGGTTTTGACACTACACGTTTTATTGTTGAAAAAGCGCGGGATAAAGTGCAATCATATTCCAGTTCAGATGGTATGTATATTTTGTTATAAACTATATATGAGTTTTATACAGGATAGAATTATGTTATGTTATAACTATCTTTGATTATAAAATGCAAAGATAATACAGAAAAGCACAATAATAACACTCATTTTTTGCTGAATTTGTATAAATAAACTTTCACGTTTCAATGTTATACATGTATTTGCTTACCATTATTCAGTTCTGTTCTAAATTACAGAATTGATTAACAGTAAAATATCACAATGGTATCAATGTATTTTACAACATATGAGCAACCGTTGTTTAGTTTTGCTATTATTTGCTTTAGCATATGAAAAGGTTGGTGTATGTCTGAAGGTGGCCGCACATTTCCGAAAATACTTGTTCTTTCCACTCAAAATTATGAATGTCACCTCTATTTCGTAATATGTTTATCTGATTCAACTAAACACACCTGTTTTCTTGTGAATACACAACACAAACTCTGAAAACTAAGAAAATTAATCAATTTTTTATCACATTACTGAAGTTTTATAACGACTGATATGATGAGCCTTATCACGACAAAACCAACATAATGTGTTTGCGACCAGCATGGATCCAGACCAGCCTGCGCATCCGAGCAGTCTGATCAGGATCCATGCTGTTTGCTATCAGTTTCAGTTCTTGTAATAGCGTTGGTAAGCGAACAGCATGGATCCAGATCAGACTGCGCGGATGCGTAGGCTGGTCTGGATCCATGCTGGTTGCAAACGCATCATGTTGGTTTTGTCGTGACGCGGCTCATATATTTGTATTATTTCAGTATCTAGTGATCCGCCACCACCTTATACTCCCCCAGAATCAAGCAGACAGTCCAGTCATCCAAACTCTGCTGAGGCATCGGGAGTCCACCATAGTTATTCAGATCAAAGACTTGCTCAATCACAGGTTTATGATACACCGAATGTTCAACCCACTTCTAACAAGCATCGCCACTCGCTTCCATATGATACAAGGCCTGTCCCAGGACGAAGGCAAAGCTGTGACCCTCGTCTGAGCTCAAGTTCAGACAGTAATATGTGCCAAATGAACCAGAATGCTGAGTGTTCAAACATACCTACTGTAACCTCTAGTCAATCATTATCGAGGGAAGGTGATACATACCCATCTCAAGGCATTATGAGAGAAAATTCAAGGAGCTCTGTATCTTCACATGGCTCTGTACAAGGTGTCGCAAACCTTGCACAAAACATAGCCAGTTCAGCAGAAGGTATGGCCTTCTCAAATCAAGGTAGGGCCTCACCACAGACCGTGCCTCTTTCTGAGAATCCAAATCCTCAGCCAGTAGGTGCCTCGCATAATATAATACACCAACAGCCTTCAGAAACAATTATACATACAAATATTGTTCAGATAAGACAAGTTGTGGATTTACCGCCATATGAAGAGGTTTGTAATAAATCAAGACAAAGTCTGGGACCAGAATACATGGCAGACTCCCAAAACTCAGATAAGATGGCTACAGAATATTCTTGCAGCAATGCTGGGGTTGACCAGAACTTACAGTTTGCTGATGATGATGAAGATTCCATTCCTGATGGGGTAACATTATTTGCTTTATAAAACTTATTAGTCTTTATTTTTTTTGGACCCCTTGTTCACAAAAATAGGATCAACTGATTTTACTTGGTTTTTTCTTCACTAAGTAGTAAAAATGTATACATGTATCACGGATTCTGATTGGGCCCTCTTTACATTAAGACAGTTGTCATAAATGGTAAAATTTGTTCCAGTAATCTGACAGAACAAACCTGGGACACTTTTTTAAGTTGTAAAATAAGTTTTTGAAGAACCTTTTCATGAAACAAAGAACAAAGACAATAATAATTGTTCTTCACACTGTCACCTTGCTCACATGTATATGTAAACAATCGGACAAGTTTACAATTATTCAAATTTGTAATTAATTTTGTTTTTTATGTATATAAATTACATAGGCCAGAAGTTTGAGACCTATACCTGCTCCAAGAAGTTGCAGTTCTGGTGAAGGTTATGCCACAGCTGAAGAGGACCAGGATGGCATTTCTAAGCATAATGATTAATAGGGACCTTGAACATGATATTTGTGAATCCTTGTCCCAGGCTACCATGTGTAATTTATGATCAGAGGTAAATCCTACCAAAGTTTCTTCCAACAGGGACTACAGCTAACTCAGGACCACAGCTAACTTGGGACCACAGCTAACTCGGAACTATAGCTAACATGTGCTAAAGGTGCATTTAAATTTTAGTAATGATAGGTAAAAATCATCACCATATAACTTACATAGACTGTGTCAACTGGGATTTAAAAACCAAAATCTAGAGAAATGTAAATTAGAATTATAGAAATGTTTGTTTGGTTATTGTTGTGATGTATAGCTTAATTTCAAATTGATGACATTTATAATTAAATATGTATATTGTATACTTTTAAGAATTACACTTACAAATTTTACAGTAGTTACTTTTTATTTTTTAAAGCAGGGATACTGTATAATTATTTTGTCTTCCAGTTTACAATCAAAGTTATATATTTAAAGGAGGTCCACTGAGGTCCAAAAGCCGAAAAACATAAAATTTTAAATTCTGAAATACATTGTAGATCAAATGGGCGCTTACAATTGAATATTATGAAAATTATAATAAAGAGTTAAACTCAGAATTGAATTTACAATCAATTTTGGTTTAAATCTTAGTCTAATTTAGTTATAGCATTTTAATGCTTTTCATTTTGAGGACCATCATTTTGCGCAATAAGAAAATAAAAAATGAAAAAAAAAACAACTAAATTTTATCTGAAATTTTAAAGTTATTGGTCTGGACCTACATCATATGGCACTTAAATGTGAAATAAAAAAATCAGTCATCTCATGCCATTAAAAAATCAGTGGAGCCCCTTTAACACATAAGAACATTATTGTAAAAAAAGGCATCACCATTTATGCATGTTTATTAAGCTACTTGATCTATATTCAAAGTTGGTTTTAAAATTAAATATAAATGTATTTCTTTGTACTTGGTAAAAGAGAATTATTGGGATAGTCAAATTTAGACTAAGTCAGCTATAATGTATATTCATTGTTTGTAACTCTTTTCTGATGATTGTCTCAACTTTAATTCATGATATATATTGGTTAAGCTAGTATCATAATGATGGTGTAACATATTGATGGCCAACTTGATTAATTTGGATTTTTTATTATGTGACAAGTTTTACATTTTTTCTTAAAAAAAAAAAATAAAAAGGAAAAAGTTGTGTGAAGAACTCTATTCTAATGTTACAGAAAAGCACTTTTTAAAAAGGTCAGATATTTTTCTTTTTCTGTGTGTGTGTTTTTAGCTCACCTGTCACAAAGTGACAGGGTGAGCTTTTGTGATCGCCATCGTCCGGCGTCCGTCCGGCGTCCGTCCGTCCGCAAACTTTTACTTTAAATGACATCTCCTCATAAACCACTAAGCCAATTTCATCCAAACTTCACAGGAATGTTCCTTTGGTGGTCACCTTTAAAAATTGTTCAAAGAATTTAATTCCATGCAGAACTCTGGTTGCCATGGCAACCGAAAGAAAAAACTTTAAATATCTTCTTTTAAGAAACCCAAAGAGCTAGAGCTTAGATATTTGGCATAAAACATCTTCTAGTGAGTGTCTATCAAGTTTGTTCAAATAAAAGCCCTGGGGTCAAAATTGGCCCCGCCCCGGGGGTCATTGATTTTCCCTATATGCATATAGTAAAAACTTAAAAAAATCTTCTTTTAAAGAACCCAAAGAGCTAGAGCTAAGATATTTAGCATGAACCATGTTCTAATAGGTGTCTACCAAGTTTGTTCAAATAAAAGCCCTGGGGTCAAAATTGGCCCCGCCCCGGGGGGGTCATTGATTTTCCCTATATGCATATAGTAAAAACTTAAAAAATCTTCTTTTAAAGAACTCAAAGAGCTATGGCTAAGATATTGAGGATCAAACATGTTCTAATAGGTGTCTACCAAGTTTGTTCAAATAAAAGCCCTGGGGTCAAAATTGGCCCCGCCCCAGGGGGTCATTGATTTTCCCTATATGCATATAGTAAAAACTTAAAAAATCTTCTTTTAAAGAACCAAAAGAGTTAGAGCTAAGATATTTAGCATGAAACATGTTCTAATAAGTGTCTACCAAGTTTGTTCAAATAAAAGCCCTGGGGTCAAAATTGGCCCGCCCCAGGGGGTCATTGATTTTCCCTATATGCATATAGTAAAAACTTAAAAAATCTTCTTTTAAAGAACTCAAAGAGCTATGGCTAAGATATTTAGCATCAAACATGTTCTAATAGGTGTCTACCAAGTTTGTTCAAATAAAAGCCCTGGGGTCAAAATTGGCCCGCCCCGGGGGTCATTGATTTTCCTTATATGTGTATAGCAAAAACTTAAAAAATCTTCTTTGAAAAAACCCAAATAGCTAGAGTTAAGATATTAAGCATGAAACATCTTTTAGTGAGTGTCTACAAAGTTTGTTCAAATAAAAGACCTGGGGTCAAAATTGGCCCCGCCCCGGGGGTCATTGATTTTCTTTATATGTGTATAGCAAAAACTTAAAATCTTCTTTGAAAAAACCCAAATAGCTAGAGTTTAGATATTAAGCATGAAACATCTTCTAGTAAGTGTCTACAAAGTTTGTTCAAATAAAAGCCCTGGGGTCAAAACTGGCCTGGCCCCAGGGGTGTCATTGTTTTTAACTATATGTGTTTAGTAAAAACTTAAAAAAAATCTTCTTTTAAAAAGCCCAATGAGCTAGAGCTTAGATGTTTAGCATGAAACATCTCCTTATGGGTGTCTACCAAGTTTGTGCAAATAAAAGCCCTTGGGTTAAATTGGCCCTGCAACATTGGGGGTTGGGGGGCCTATATACAGGTGAGCGACCTCAGGGCCATCATGGCCCTCTTGTTTAAATATAAGTTTGTTATAAAACAACTTTTGTTTGAAGTTTTCTAAATGTTATGTGTATTGTAATTAACAATTGTGATTAATTCTAGAAAGGTTTGTGAAAATCATGACATAATTGAGACAGAATAAAGTTTATCAAACATTAGGTGTGACATGCTGTAAAATTTAACATTAATGATTATTTTTCATAAATGTTTGAAATTGTTCCATTTCCATAAGGACCAATACCAGTGAAGTGAATTTTAAATTATAACTAATTCATCATCTGTCAGGATAATTACAGACAGATCATATTTTTAGTTGTCGGTATTGTGTTGTTTTTTGTAGTTGTTGTTGTTGTAGTTTTTTCATTCATAAAAAAAAATGCTGTAATCTGTAACTTTTTTTATAATTATTTACAGTAAATAATGTGTTCAGATCAAAGTTATACCATGATAGCCTTAACTGAATGAGAATGTAAGAATGAGTAACAAGGCCGGGTTTTAAACTTTATAGATTCAGTAGCTATACTGACTTGTTTATAACACAAGTCTCAAGCCAGGCCAGTCAAACGATCCAAGTACCTTAATCTGGCCTGGTACTGTATTATTAGCTTCACAATTTTATTCTTATAATATCAAATTCCCTTAAAAATATTGCAGAATGTAAAGCAATAAAATGTTAACCAACAAATCATGTATGGGTAGCCTAATATTTGCATCGCATGTTTAATATGCTAGGCCAATATTAGCCCTTTTACAATTGCTTGCCTACCAGGAAAATAAAAAAAGATTGCTTTGAACCTAGCCCTGTTACTGGTGCAGGATAAATTAAATGCTGTATATATTATACCATGCATATTAAAGTGTATCATGCTGTCTTGTTATATTGTATTACTTAATATAAATGTATCTTGTTATTTTCTGTTTTTGAAATTGGTGCTTCATTTAAATTAACAGTCATATATTTTGTTTTCATATATGCATACATTCTTGTTTTACAGGCAAAGTTTTATCTTTAAAACAGTCAGTTGCTTTTATTTGGGGTACATCGCTTCTAGTTGCCAAGTGATATGGGATATTTTATAATGAAATAGTAGCATAATATCATATTTATATGTGATAACAATATTTAGCAATTTGATGGCAAAGTTATTTTTACAGCTTTCAATCTGCACACCTACATATATAAATAATAGTGAACCATTTTTGAAGAATTGTTTTTAAGGAAAACAAAATTTGAGTTCAAGAAATACATAATCCAGGACCATGACTGTGATGCTTTGCATGATTAAAATTTACTATATTTCTGCCCATTTACTAATGGTTTAGGTCATTTTGTTATCATATTCAACACATTGCATATTAAGTCAGAAATTGGATATTAAATGTCTTGACTGCACTTGAAAAATTGTTGTCCTTTGACAGTTTTTTTAATATGCAGATTTTTTTTCTAAATTTTTGTAAATATGGCATGAATCTGTAGGTGTCCTGCTTTAAATGAATTTATTACACTATTATTGTACATCATATGATAAGTACAAAGAATGGAAATTATGATATTTTGTTTTGCTTTTCACATTTATTACCAAAATATTTTGAATATTTTAAAGAAACCAAATATTGCTAATGGTTGCAGGGTCTCAGATGATGTATAAAGGGTTCAAATTTTACATTCCTTACTTACTTAATAGTTAAATATGCTAATGCTTAATTTAATTTCATATTAATTTTTTACCCTATGATTATTTTATATGTATATGTATTTTTCGTTATTTACCAGTTAAGTTTAAAAATGCTTGATAAATTTTATTTTATGTAAATAACTCTAAATACTGTGCTTTTTACTTTGAAATATAACATTTATCGCTCACTGTACAAGTCAGCTGTTAGCTTATTAGCTGGGCTATTCCATATGTCTGTAGGATAATAGTTGTTATTCACTAACCAATACCCATAAATCTAGCATGAATTTGCTTGAAATATATACCTTTGTGTACTTAGAAAATTTCTTGTTAAACTTGAGGGTCTACACTCCTACATTAAACTTCACACAATCATGCCTTGAGGATCATGATTTTATAATCAATTTCCTAAACTCTGCCAGAAGTTATTAATGAAATTTACTGCTTTGTGAATTTGTACATTATCAAGGCTCTTGTTTAACAATCATACACTAAGAAATTTTGAGCTTGCTGTCATTATGGGAGCTTATGTTTCAAAGAATTGAGTGCAATGAAATTGTATCTGAATATGAATAATAATCTTACTTCAGTTTGTTGCATACTTACTGAAATATATCTTTTATCCATTTAAAATAAAATATAATAGATCTACATGTTGTCACACAGATCTATATATGTACAATGTTTCTCTTTTTACAATTATAACATGTATAAAGCATTTCCATGCCAGTGTGGCATCTTTTGATTAAAGTGACATTATGTCCATTTAATTATATAAAGTGGGTGAACAGGTAAAAGTCAAAATAAGTTTACAGTTGCCATAATTCTTTCAGTTTTATAACTTTGCATGAACAATAAATAACTCATATGGCCAAAGGAAATGTTGGTTAATATCCATCTGAATATTCCTGTAATGTAGAATTTATATAAAAAAAAGTGGGTCAGTCTTTAGGCAGATGTATATTTAATCCTAAAGATTTTTCAGTATCAGTTGTTGATCAGTCACCATTTTAATAGACTGTATTTTGAAATATATAGTCAATTCTGCTCAACTTGCCTATGAAATAATGAGCATAATGTCACTTTAAAGGTCATGCAAATTATATGTAAGTCATTAATATTCATTACATAGAAGTATCATTTATATAAATTTTGGATAAATCTAACCTTCATACTGGCATAGATGGTGTTATTTTCCTTACTAAGAATCAATACTCATTGTCTTGTATTGCATCAAGATTTTAAATTGTTTCTTTTTCAATGTTTTTTTTTTTTTTGCTTAATCTTGAAAATATTGCTTCCCTTGATCTTTTAATTTTTGTATTTTATGTTTTTTATGGTAATTATGAATCATATCTTTTATATATAAAGTCCCAATCATTTATAAAACCATGGCATTTTATATATTGCATTTTTGATAATGTTTGTTTTTTCTCAAACTTAATACAACGATTTCTTTTCTAAATTTTATTTGTTTTTATGTAATAACAACTAAAATGTATGTGAAGTCATATTTAACCAAAAGCACTTATTATATAAGCACAATGGTTAATGTTTTTACATGTTTAAAATTTAATTCTAACAGAGAGTCTAGGGATATTTTCAACACTATACTAATGAGAAAGCTTTAAACAACAAGATGAAATAGATTTGTTTTCAACTATTAATGTTAAGTTTGTTGAGCTCACCAAGGCATGACATGATAAAATGTGAGATAATGTGGTCAATTGTTGTCAATCTGTTTATCCATGCTAATGGGGCATCCATGGGCAAGAGGTTAATGTTGTTGATTTTGAACCACTCATCCTTTTTGGTCTCACTGCTACCACTCATCCTTTTTGGTCTCACTGCTGTGGGAAGGAACTTTGGATTCTTTAGAAGCCATCCCGCTTAAAAAAGGTTGGTAGTTATACTCTGGTGCATGGATGTCCTCCACCAGTTAAGCTTAACAATTCGCCATATAAACTGCAATGTAGCTACTTTTGTAAGGAGACCGTTCATCTGTCTGTCTACACAACATTTCCTTCTGGGAGGCTCAGTCTTGGGATGTTTTATAGGTGCTTATTTTCAAATGTGCTGAATAGAATACTGTTTTATTCAAATATTTATGTTTAAGCACTAATACTACAGAATCACTGACACCTTTATTATACTTATATAAATTATAAAGTCATCTTGGTGAGCGATACAGGCCCACCATGACTCTCATGTTTGTTATCATGCCTGGTGGAAGTTATGAACATTTCATATCAGAATGGTTATTGTACATGTGTCTAGCATATTTTACATTATTTTATATGCACATTTATTTATTTTGTATAACTATCATTTATATCTATATTAATTCAACTATAAATTTGGAAAGAAAATGTTACTTAGTTGTGTTTTTCTGATTACAATATCAGGGACTTAGTTTTCTATATACCCAGACCTACATAATTTCCAAGTAAAATGAAGGAATGGGACATTGGAAAAGAGTCAGAAAATGATGAAAGGGAGGGGAGGTGGGGGTAGGAATTGGGAGAAATTATGGCATATCCTGTATACTACCTCTCAGTCTAGTCCTATAACATAACACGTAGTACTAACGGAAACGTCTTATGTTATAGGACTACCGCTCAGTCATACAGATGCATTTTGACCAAGATATGCGCCTTAATATGTGAGTCCTGTGTAACTTATTTTGCTCAGTAAAACAGTGGAAATGTGAAGAGGCATTTTCACACAAACGATTGAACTGACAGTTTACAGTGGGGGTAACTTATATTGGTTACCACAAGCAAAAAGCTCAATTAATTCAATATTCCAACAAGTGCATGTGAAGAATCACACAAAACGAAACATGCTAGACGACTGGATGTCGTAGACGCCTGACTCGATTAAGCGATCGATTACGTACCGTAAATGCTAGGTTCTGAGTTCTACATGGAGATGAACGACCCGGATGTCCGTATTCTAGTGATTTAGCCAGGCACAAACTACCCGTGCACCTCGTGCACTGATCAGCGTAAATAATCGCGGGTTGACCTACATTACTTGTGTAACTTTTAAGCTAAAAGATCATACATGAATATTTTACACTTGCACATTATTTTTCTCTATGATATACTATTTAAACATGATTAATACATGTGTACATGTATTTACGATTTCATGTTTTTTTTGTTTTATTTTTTAATTTAAGAGAAAGTAAACATACTTCCATACTGTTCATTATAGAGGTATTTTATTAAGATAAACTTTGTCGTAAAAATATAATAAATATTTTATGTTTGATAGACAATGTTGATTTATTGCGCTTGCGGACCAGTAACCAATAGATACATATAAGATAAATACCAAATTACATACTGGTTATTTTCTCTCTTAAGATGAACAGTCACTTTAAGTGCATTAAGTGTTTAAATTGTACAATTAATGAGAGAGATCACTTTCCTAATAATATATAAAACAAGTGTAGAAAATCGGAAGTTTATGTGACGATGACCGCCTAGATTTTATGGTGTATATTATAGCAAAATTTGCAAAGAATGTATCAATAATTTAAAAGGTTACAGTTCAACAGGCGGGTATATGGCGAACACTGATCGTTTATTTTACAAGACGACATTTATTGATCGTAAAGGAGCCTGGACGTCAAGTGGAATTATTAAAAAGTGACGTTTAATCGAGTATATAAGCATGTTTGGGACATTTACAATGTTGCTGCGATGCCAACAGGTTAGTTTGTTTAAACTGCATTGATATAATTATGACGTTTTGCACACAATAATATATCAAGTTTTATGACTTAAGATAACCGGATACAAAATAAATAATCTATTAGCCGCTTGGGTGATAAACACACATTTTATCTTTGCACAATTTTATTTTTTGTCGAACAAGCCTCATAACTGTTTAAATATGTAGTCAGTCATTTATTATATGAGGTATATACATGTAGTGTACACTGATTGTAGTTTACAGCAGACGACATGATTGTATTCTCGCATCGATTTATTTCATTACATGCTATATTCCGCAAATGGACTTTTCCAGCTTTAAAATAAATTAAACCAGTTTAAAGTATAGAGCCTGGTCAGACATCCTGGTTATGCAGGATGGCCTTGTCCTATATATGATTTCAGCGCGTTCGAGGAAAGCATGACACATAGATAAAGGTTAAGCATTTTCCGCTCTATTTAAACATATATACAAGAAAAGCATTGATGCAAAGCATCAAAGGGCGTCCAAGCAAGAAATATGAAAGTGAAGATGAACTAGTAGACATATGATGTCAAGATATTCTTATAAACTTTTCAATGGTTAATTGGTTTTTACCAAAATGAACGGACGGAAGACATTGTTCATTATGAACTTTGATTGGCAACGGATATACATGTATACACTCATTTATCATCCATACCCATGTGTAACGCATGATCAACACCACACTTGTGGAATTGTCCCTTATTATGTATTCGCTATTAGCGAAGACCCCCTCTTAAGGTATCTGTTCACACTTAGTAAAAATATGACACTGGTTATATTACCATGTCATGTTGAGCATTATTGTTTATTATACAATAATTGTAATATCTATTTTAATAACAAAAATATTAATACAGATTTTATGAATATTGTTTTCCTCTCTCTTTTTGTGTTTTTATGTGCTATTTTAATACTGAGTTTTTTACGTTTACTATTCTTTTTTTATTAAAATTGTAAAATAAATTTTAAGAATTCAAATGTCATATTGACCGACGATTATAAGTCAAAACTTTACTGGAAAAAGCCAGTAAATTATGGTTAATCTTTCAATAAATAATATTATTTATTCTTAAACCATGTACATGTACATTTGTATTTTTCTTTATCATTTTTTTAAATTATCATTCAAAATCAAATAATTAATAAAATCTAATTTGTTACTTTGAATAATTCACCGGCATCTTTACTAAACACGAATAACAAATAAAATAAAATGTTTCAAAGTTAATAGAGTCATATTAAAACCATAAAAATATACCTTTTTTCACAATTATTGTACATATTTATAGTTTATATCTCGTATAGATAAAATGAAACATGCTATTGTTGTTGTTGTTGTTGTTTTTTTCGAATTGTATGTTTATGTATAATAATAATCAATATATTTGAGAGTTGATCTATGTTTATTAATTATTGTAACCAAACTAAGTGACAAACATTCATTTTGGAAAAAAAGCTTATTTATCTGTAAAATATTTGTTCTGTTCTGTAACGATATCAAACATCTACTCCAAAAACCGGGAGAGATTGGACAATAAACGTGTGATACTTTTCGCCGGTCACTAGTATCACGGTCAAAATAGACCGGGAGAGACCGGAATTACCGATAGGAGTACATCCCTCTATAAATAGATTTTCGGAATATTTAGGTCATCAACTCATCATTCTATTTTAACATACCATGATAACCCACTGTGTACTACAAAATGATAAATAAAAAACCGAAGAGACGGAAAAGGTTATTGCATGTGAAAATGAAAAGGTTATTGCATTTGAAAATGTTTGCATTGCGAAATCCTCCAGTTCGCTATTCATTGTAACATATCGCGACATTTAATTAATAATCAAGCACCCTCATACCGATCGGAATGATCGGCTTTTATCATGACCGACTTAAAGGCTCGAGAAGTTGCTGTCGCCCTTTCACAAAATCTGATTTCGTTCCATAAAGGGGCGCCGCGCTTCGGCGCGGCCGCCAATAACGTATCACATCTTTAATGTTGTAATTTATAGTAAAAAATACTTAGCTGGTATTGTCTGTGTAAAAGTATATATAAAATTGGTTTTTGGTATAAAAACACAAATGTTTACCACAGCGATGTTCTTTAATTACATTTTGTACTTTTCTAGATAGATTTACAGTATAGATATCTATAATTGAGCCGCGTCACGACAAAACCAACATAGCGCGTTTGCGACCAGCATGGATCCAGACCAGCCTGCGCATCCGCGCAGTCTGATCAGGATCCATGCTGCTCGCTTACCAACTCTATTACAAGTAGAGAAATTGAAAGCGAACAGCATGGATCCTGATCAGACTGAGCAGATGCGCAGGCTGGTCTGGATCAATGCTGGCCGCAAACCCATTATGTTGGTTTTGTCATGACGCGGCTCATATGTATTGCTATGACACGATTTTTTTCTCTTGTTCATCCTATTTGAACCCACGGCCCGTTTGACTAAAAAGTTATACAAATTTCAGGTCGGAATGTATTTTCCTGAAATTTAACGTAAATTTAAAAAAAATGTTTGTTAAATAATTATGGAATTTCTTTTAAAAGAATCGATATGCCTGTAATTTTCTTACTATTTTCTCAACATTTTTACCCTTTTGTCAAGTCATTATTATATTATATTCATTTTTGAGATATTTTACAATAAACATAATTATACACTTATAATTAATGCAGTGTAGATTATGTAGTATTATAATGTAGTTTATAGGGATGTTCAACCCTCGTATGTACTTAAAAATATTATCTTTATTAACCAAAGCACACATTTCGATAATCAGTGTAAGATTCCAAAATTAGTAATGTTTGTGCTGACATATTTCCTAGTGAAAGTTTGAACACCTTTAAATGTATCGAATGCAGACTTACAGTCACATTTAGTCATGATAATCGTAATCAATATTTGTAGCTTGAAAATATTTGGAAATTCAAAACACAAAATTAATTCATATTGATGAAGTATACTAGTAATATTTTATCTTCATTCATGAATATGAATACCCATTTACCTATTTAAATCCATTTGGGATTTGATTTTGTTGTTTAGACACAAGTATTTGCATATTTTGTTTCTCATTATAGGGATTACACAGACGTTTAAGAACAAAAGAAAATGCTTTTATTTTACTTTCATTGGATCTTAACTCAAACCAAACCTGATAAGATCGGAAGACCTCTGGTGCCCCTCCGTGCATAATTTTATGTACAAGAGGGCACCTGAGTAGAACACCAACCTGTTGTAAGCTAGCTGGATAGCTTCTCACGTGAAAGAATCTAAAGTCCTTGGCGGGATTTGAACCCAGTGCGGAAAGATAAACTACAATAATGCATGTTAAAGAAATAAATGAAATATATAAGTATGAGATATTTTGTTTAGGAACGCTTTAGAGTAAAAAAAAATGTCAGTGCAAAATTAGTGTAAACACATCGAAGTTTGGCAAAAAATAAGACATGATAAATGTAAAAAAGGGGAAAGATAATGTAAATGCTTGACCATATCTTTAGACTATAGAATTTAATCTTCTTTTTCTTTCTCTATTGCAGGGCAACCCGAGTTTCCCATGGGCTCGATGTTTGAGTTCTCTTTCGTACATTAAAGCTACAGACGTGAATAAAAATGTGAGAATATTTCAGCATAAAGATGCAGCGCCCAACCCTCGCCCACTAGTGTTGCTGTTTGCTAGCTGGATAGCTTCTCACGTGAAAAAATCTAAAGTCCTTGTCGGGATTTGAACCCAGTGCGGAAAGATAAACTACAATAATGTATGTTAAAGAAAGAAATGAAATATATAAGTATGAGATATTTTGATTAGAAAGAAAATGCCAGTGTAAAATTAGTGTAAACACATCGAAATTTAGCGAAGAATAAAACATGTTAAATGTATATAAGGCGAAAGATAATGTAAATGCTTGACCATGTTTTAAGACGATATAATTTAATCCTTTTTTTTTCTCTTTTGCAGGGCAATCAGAGTTTCCCATGGGCTCGATGTTTGAGTTCTCTTTGGTACATAAAAGCTACAGACGTGAATAAAAATGTGAGAATATTTCAGCATAAAGATGTAGCGCCCAATCCTCGCCCACTAGTGTTGCTGTTTGGTTGGCTGTTTGCCAAACCAAAACATCTTAAAAAGTTTGTGGATATGTATAATCAAGAAGGCTTTGATGTAATATCAGTACAGGTAAAATAACTTAATTTACAAATCTTTCATCTTGAAACAAATGCAACGTCAAACAAATGCTTTTTTTTCATTCAAAAGAAAAATACAACCACCTGCTATAAACATTGAGAAAAACATTTTTGTATTACACTAAAACTACGAACGTTTTCTTTGTTTTTATTCAAATTAATGTATTTTATTTAAAATTAAGCTCAGTGTTTTTGTTTATAAAAGTCTACCTGTTTAAAATGCCCAAGAAATACCAATTAAAATCGAACAACTCTCAACCAAGAAAAACCACTTAATTAAAGGTGAAAACAAAGAATACAATTTCACCCCTCTTTCCTGTCCTTTAGTCACCGATTATTACCGATTATCTACAGACGTACTTTCTCGACTATTTCTATCAAACTTCGTACACACTAGTATGAATACACCGAACGAATAGGTTATTTTGATCTATCTTTTAACAGGGCATTTCTTTTTTATCCCAGGTATTCCTTCTACAGTTGCTAAGACCGAAGCGTGTGCAGTCACTGATGCGAGAAGTCATTGGCCTTTGCAACCAAAAGGAGAGAAAAGAACAGCAACTTCTTGTACACTCTTTGTCCGTCGGCGGGTATATGTATGGGGAAGTGTTGACCACTTTAGAAAACAATCCTGACAAATATGAAAAATTTGGTCGACGTTTACGTGGGCAAATCTTTGACAGCGTTATTGACTTTTACGGAATTCCTGGTGGCGTGGCAAGGGCGGTAACTCATAATAAGTCAATTGGAAACAAGATTGACGTCACTTTAGAATGGTACTTGTCAAAGTTTCCGTCGGTAACGGCTGATTATGTAAAGGCATCTCAGGCCTTTCATGATAATAAGTTTCGCCTGCCTAGTATTTTTCTATATTCTATCAGCGATCCGGTCTGCAACCCTGAACACTACGAGGAACTGGCGGCTACGTGGCGTAACGCCGGGCTGTACGCAACTTCGAGGTTCTGGGACGATGCACCGCACGTGAGCACGTTCAAGAAACATAATAAAGAATACACACAGACAATTGTAGATTTTATTAGACATACTGGGGTGAAGGATACTCGAAATATCGAGATGGAAGTTGAAAATACCAAAGATTATATAGACGTCATTGCCAGTGGAAAGATTATGAGCACTTCATGTCTGAACTAAGAAACCAACCACAAAGTTGATAAACTTTTCAAAGATAAACTGATATTGATATGTTAGTTTTTTATATGCAACTATTAGTATTTTGGTTCGGAGATACCATGAAACTATTTAACTATATGTATTAATTACCAAAGAGATATTACACATGAAGTGATCGAAATGTGATAGTTGGTACCGTTCAAAATAATCGTATGGTGCAGTTAATTTATATTAATACCAACAGGACATTCTGCTTTTGTATATAAGCAAATAAGTTGTCATTGTTATTTACTCATAAAAACCGCTCGTTTCCATAGATTTATCATATAATGAAATAAAGGAAAATCGCCATTTTGCTTACACCAGTAAAGCTGGAAAATGGCTGGAAAATCACCATTTTGCACCAGTAACGCTGCTACGGGAAAATCGCCATGTTGCATTCACCAAAAAAGCTGGAAAATCGCCATGTTCCTTCCACCAGTAAAGTTTTAAAATAGCTCGAAAATCACAATGTTGCTTCCACCAGTAAAGCTTGAAAATTATCATGTTGCTTAAAACCATACGAAGCAAAAAAGTATTAAGCTTTCCAGGCACAAAAACTGCCAACTGTAAAGAGTAGTCTTTATATATTTTCTTGCAGCTATTTTCATTTTAAGGACGTTTTGGCCGAACATAATAAAGGTGCCTCCTGTCGGTCACATCGCGATCCTCTGCCAGCGAAGCTAGGATCGGTTCTAAGAATCCTCGCCACAATATAAATGGTATACCTGGCACGCATGATACTGCACAGAAGATTTAAACAAGAAAATAAACACGGATGTTACATACCTATGAGTCAAAATCTACGAGTGCCGGTATGTGATGACGATTATTCGTTATTTTGTTATTGCACATGACGTTTTATTACTAATATATACGTCTTTCTAACTTTTGAAAAAAGCATTTTCTTTTCCTTTTATGCGATTGTTCAACAAAGTCTAAACAAAATTTAAATTTGCGTTTAGAATATATTTGTATATATTTACATCGTAATATTCTATGTATGCATTAAATTTTGTACAACAAGTTACGAGTTTGTTTATATGTATATGTACGTCGTGAAAAAAAAAATTAAAAATGAAATGTAGCATGTAAATGAAATTACATGTAAAAATTGATTCAGCAGCGGATCAAGAAATTATGGATGTTTAATCTGTTGCTTCCAATAACTTCCAAGCATTGTGTGACACACCGACACAGTATAGGTCATTTAGCCACGTTCCAGCTTTACTGGTGGAGGAAGACCTTAGGTGCCCTTCCGTGCATTATTTTCAGGCACGAACGGGCACCTGAGTAGAACTGCCGACGTTTCATAAGCTAGCTGGATAGCTTCTTCACATGAAAGAATCCAAAGTCCCTGTCGGCATTCGAACCCACAGCGGCGAGGAGCAAGTGGTTTGAAGTCAGCGACCTTAACCACTCGGCCACGGACGCCCCAAAGATTGTATGAGAGACCGCGCACGATATTGAGTTTGTTATACCAGCTAGCAGTTGAACATAATTTACTATAATCAATGAATGTACATATGCATATTTCTGTAGAAGAACTGATATTTATTGATATGCAGACTGTCCTTGGTGTACAAGTTGTGCATAGTTTCTTTATCGCCGCCTGCGCTCAAAGTATTAAAACATTGGTTTTTAATGCTTATCGCTGTCTCAGAAAGGCAGATAAAATATGTAATTGTACTATATAAAAAGAAAAGAAACTTCTGATTTATCTACAATGTATTTTATGTTACAGTAATGAAAAGAAATCTACATGTCCAATGACCTACAAATGTTCGGTCTAACGATTTTAGTCATGTAAAACCAATTATAACCGATTTCACGCATTACACAACAAAAGAACCCACTAAACGTAAGTACAAAACGGTATATTTCACTCTTATTTAAATAGATTTTGTTGTCAAGAAGTAAAAGATGTGGAAAAAAGACGGTTTTATGAAGTTTTTTTCTTTGTGAAATGCATAGAATTGCTCCAAAGTTACGTGAACGTGCCTTTGAATGCTTAATATGCTTTGTATGACGACTGGTTGTTGGCAGTTCTAGCATAACTACTAGTATTCGAAACCATAGTCATTGTTTCAAAGTAACAGGGCATATGGAAAATTTACCGCGTAAATTCGTGCGTCACAACGCCTGGTCAGCTTGAAGCACGTCATCCCACTGTTTCAAAATAATACCAGTATTATTATGTTTCAACATGCTAATGCCACAAGCCATATAGCGAAAGATTCTGTGAATTTATACTGCACGAATAATATTGCATTCAATAATGATTGCCCTTCCTGGTCAGACATGAATCTCATCGATGTGGGATAATTTGGACCAATGTGTTAATTCCACCGTCGAACATCAAAGAACTAATACAATACTTAATCTAGGAGTGCGAGAACATTCCCAAACAGAAGTCAACTCACACTTGTCGATAGTATGCACAAACGATGCCAGGCATATTTACGCGATATCTACATTTAAACGCTGCGGAAGTTTCTTTTTTACTCAGCATATAATAAGGAAAACATATATACATACTAGAATACAATCGGATGAAAGATGCACGTGACGTTAATCTAAATAACCTACATACATTAAATATACAAGTCCTCCTTCTCCGACTATTCATGTGACGAACAGAGTATGGACACATTTATTTCCAATGTGTCGGTCCCATACCGATACTAGTAAATCGACAGCATCAAAACTTAATATTGTCAATAAATCTGTTTGAATTTATACCTATCGATCTATTTTGAATAGCTGTTTTATTTTGTTTTCATAACGGTTGAAATTACATCCTACCAGACGCAGTTGTAACAAGATACACTAGCTATATTTATTATTTATTGTATCTGACTAAACATCATTTCAGAGAATCTTAGCTATAGGATAAATAGGTTTGATGCTAGGCTATACGAGACATAGCTGTCGGGAGTAATTCCATATCGTTTCAAAACAAAACTGCCAATTCATACATGTACTTTGAACAGCTATTCGTTTATCTTCTTACATTTACGATAAAAGATCCCCGATAGGAAATTACAATATATGAGGTTTTTATAATATCAAAACAAACATTTCATCACAGAATTTAGTATATCTACAAGAACGCAACATATATTTGACTTCCGTCATTTCACTGTTCGTTATGGCAATTTATTCCTATTCGTTATGGCAAAGGAAAAATATTTATCCTGATGAAGGCGTAAGTCGAAACGTTGATAGTAAAAACAATTAATCCGTATTCATTCATGTGTTGTTTTTTCTATCCTTAAATATATTCGTATGTTCGTTATTGCATCATTTCTATACCCGTTATAATATTCCATTGATGTTATGCCATTGTGTCAAAACACACATCGTAAGAAACACATTAAATAGTAAATTAGACACAATGCAGCATTATTTCAGTTATTAATATCTTTGTTTTACTCTTTTTATTGTTCTTGTGTTTGTTCTTTAGTATGTTCTATAACCTGTTCGTCAGTATACTTAGTTATCTGTTCTTTTGTATTTTCATTTGTTAATTCTTTAGTTGATAGTTCCGACAGGCTTGAACGATCGTCATCAATGATCGGGAATGTTGTATCTTTTTCAACAGAAACTCTACCGCTTGGTATCTTCGTGGACTCTCTGGATGCTACTAGGTGTCGGGTATAAAACTTCGGCAGAACTATACCTCGATGCCTTACAGCCCATTTCTTAACCTTCGCATCAGCCTTACAAAAACCTGGACTAAGTTGGCTGTATCCGTCTGTATTGAAAGTAGGAGGAGCCAAACATTCTTCGAGTCGTCTGAATCTCGGGTCCTCAGTTGAGCGCGTGTATAGCATCGGCTCATAATCTCGGTTGTTTACCAAGCGTTCGTGATCTTGCAGATACTCAGATTCGCTTGTTTTATGCGGGGCCATGAGTGATTTGTGAGTTTCTTTTTGTTTCTCTTTCTTTAATTGGTTGAGTCCTTGCTGAGAGTCTAGATAGAAGCATAGAACATTTATTGGTGGTGCTAATCTTGCATAAATGGTAAATGGATCTATTTCCGGTTCCGGTGTTGGAACCGGCATATACCGTGTCCCGTACTTGGCAATAAACGCATCTTTCATTCGCTGATAACTAGCATCCCATACTTCATGCCACTTCCGGCGATGATTTAATGTATCTATGAAAGCATATCTAAGTTTACGGTGTGTAAAGCGGAAGTTTCGTTTTTGCTTGGTGAGATATTTCACTTGAACATCCAAGACATTGTCTTGCATTGTGTTCTCGTACAAGAGGACTCTGGAAATGTTGGTTTTTGGTAGTAGACTACGTTTGCCTTTTTGTCCGTAGTTTGGTTGTATGGTTGGCGGCTTATGTAGATAAGCTGTCTTGTCTTTCTTTTTATCCCAGACATTTATTTCAGGTAAAGGTTGAAGTGGCGGGAACGCCATGTCTTGGTACGGAAGATATGGAGACAAAAAGCTGAAAAAGTAAATCAAAAACCTGCACAATGATATAACAGAATAAATCACAGCAAGGTGTCATGCCTTTATATTTGGTCCAAGATTAAATGATTTTTATAATGCATTACAATGTGCCGTATAAAATTTTCTTAACACTGTGCATAATTAGACCTTATGAAAGGATTTTATTGCAGTCGACCTGGACAATGGAAATATTACAATGGAAATTAAGTAAACTTTTCAACAAAAAAAAAACTTCATGTAGCATTTATTTTTTTCAAATTCCAAAAACTGAGTTAGATTAACAACATTAACAGTGTGAGTTAAATCCAATCCGAACGTATATAGTACTCTGCATAATTAATAGCAATTGCTGCATTTGCAATGTAGGAAATAAACATTAAAAAGAGAATGAAATAACTTACCTTCGAACCTGTTTGTTACATATAAAAGCTCCAAGATGTCCCTATATCGTGTATTTTCTCTTCTTCAGAAGCAACACTGTATATAAGTACATATATATCTAACAGTAGTTAATATCATTTTATTGCTCATAGTTATAGAAAATATAATTAGACCTTTTCGTACGAGTGACTTTGTGTGGATTTCATGCCTCAATGAATTAGCAGTTATAATTTATTGAGCTTTGGAATAAATAATGTCATTTTTCTGATACATGTTAAAAAGCATATCAATCAGAATCAATAACATTTGAAAAGGGATGTAAATAATTTATTCATATCATAACTCCGAACAGAGAGATACTGAGTGCGTTTTCAATGACGTTGAATTGAAATTTATTCCAGCGTTTGTATGGATATGTATTTAAACCAATTTACTATTACAACTTTTAAGTATGTACGTGCGAATGATCAATTCAGTGTGAATGTATATTTCAATAGGCTTTTTTTCTTAAAAAAAGATCTAATACATGTGATATTTTTCTATTTTCTATTACAGAATATGTTGTTGTTGTTGTTGCTGCTGTTGTCGTCGTCGTTGTTGTTTCTGCTGCTGCTGATGTTGACTTTGTAATTACTGTCGCTGCGGTTCTATAAATGAGCCGCGTCACGATAAAACCAACATAATGGGTTTGCGACCAGCATGGATCCAGACCAGCCTGCGCATCCGCGCAGTCTGATCAGGATCCATGCTGTTCGCTATCAGTTTCTCTACTTGTAATTGAGTTGGTAAGCGAACAGCATGGATCCTGATCAGACTGCGCGGATGCCAGGCTGGTCTGGATCCATGCTGGTCGCAAATGCACTATGTTGGTTTTGTCGTGACATGGCTCAAATGTGATATTTTGCTGTCTACCCAGTGCATTAGTAGTTCAGTTCCGTTGATATATAGATATTATGTAAAAGTATGAGAGAAAACCTACATGCATTGCAGCATAGCAGTTAATATTAATCTTAAAGACACATTATACCCCAGTTTTACTTCTCAAAAGTTTTGTTTGTTATTTTTGGTGTCCTGCGACAGGTTCCAAAAAGTTACCCGTTGGCCAATTGCCTAAACCATATGAGCCGCGTCATGACAAAACCAATATAGTGGGTTTGCGACCAGCATGAATTTAGACCAGCCTGCGCCTCCATGATCCATGCTTCTATACTTGTAATAGGGTTTGTAAGCGAACAGCATGGATCCTGATCAGACTGCGAGGATGCGCAGGCTGGTCTGGATCCATGCTGGTCGCAAACCCATTATGTTGGTTTTGTCATGACTCTGCTCATATTAAGTTTCTTTTACTTTTTGGTTATTAGAACAGATATAGTTAAGTATTTTGTATGGAAGTCAAAATATAGCCTTGTTTATATTTTGCTAGTGTTACAGAGTTCGATAAATCATGTTAAATTCAGCGTTTTTTTGTTAGTGTTTTGGCACCTAAACTGCTTTAAAGTCATTATTAAAACGTTCTGAAATTTATGCCTGCCCTTTCTAAAGAAGGAAAAGTGTAATTTGTTTCTTAGGCATAAAGTGCCTATAACACACATCCCTAATTGGCAAGAACAGAATAGTAGCAATATTTTCTAGTAATTAATACAACTCTTATTCCTTCTTTAAACTTTTATTTATTTAATTTTTACTTAATAATTCCTATTACTTTTCTCAACTTAAACTGATCTGAACAAAACAAAATAACAACTTTCTTTATACCCGATACACTGCATGTAAAAATCATGACATAGATGAAAATCATGTCAACATAATCCCGCCTATGCCAAACCCGGCGGTTACAATAATTCAGCGACATACACAATAAGCATATTAACATATTTGAGTTCTTCAACAAGGATGTTTAAATTTATAATTGTTTTCGGTATTTTTCAACAGTGTCTTTCCCTCGTATAATATCTGCTCCCTTTTCTGCGACCATTATTGTAGGAGCATTGGTATTACCAGATGTTACGTTATGTAGAACAGATGCATCTACTACCCTAAGTCCTTTAATGCCTTTTACACGTAACTGTGTATCAACTACCGCTAAAGGATCATTTTCCCCACCCATTCTACAAGTGCAGGCATGATGATATTCCGTAGACGAAATATGGCGGATAAAACACTCCCAGTACTCATCTGACCGAAATTCAAACTCCGAACAGAACGTGTATTTCGCTTTATTAATGTCAACACCAAGTTCTTTAAATGTATTTGTCTCTGTAAATTGTTCCCATAATCGAATGCCTCCAATCATTGTTTCTACATCTCTTTTATCTGTGAAATATTGTGGATCTATCAAAGGAGGATCGAATGGATCAGTACTGCGTAACTTAAGGTTTCCAGTACTATGTGGATGAGTTAAACACACTGTCGTGCTTAAACCATGAAGAGACTCGTCTTTTTGAATATACTCATCGGCTATTTCGTCTTTAAGGCTTGCGAGATTATCGGTAAAAAGGAAACTGAAAAATATGACTTGAATATCGGGATATGTTTTTCCGCGATCGGATTTGTTCAAATGCAAGAATGCAGATCCGTCGAGACCAGTGCTCGCCAATGGTCCACTTTTGAACCAATCATACTGAAATTGCGACCATCGGCTAATCATTTGTTTCTTTGTAAGACCGTATGGTTTGTTGATAGGAGAAAGAAAGGTTACAAGTTGGTGATCTTTTAAATATTTCCCAACAGGTAGGTCTTTTATTACAGGTATCCCCATTTCACGAAGGTGCTCCTTTGGGCCAATTCCTGATAACATTAGTAGTTGCGGTGAATTTATAGCACCTGCCGATAAGATGACTTCTTTCTTTGCCTTCACATAATACTTCTTATTGTCTTTTATATAGAAAACGCCAACCGCTTTATCATTTTTAATGTCAATCTTAGCAACCAAAGCCTTGATAGCAATGTCAAGATTATTTCTCTTGCCAATTTTTGCAAGATATTCAAGACTTGTACTGCTACGAACTCCATCCCGCACATTACTTTGAATGACACTGAATCCTTCTTGATCTTCGCCATTGTAATCCGTTATCGGATAGCCAAGTTCTTCTCCAACTTTCATGAACAGATTAGTTAGTTCTGTAGGTGCACTGTAAGAAACAGCAAGCGGTCCTCCACTACTGTGATATTTCGAAGATTTTAATTTTTCAATCTGGACATCTTCTGATTTCAGAAAATAAGGAAGAACGTCTTCATAGCTCCATCCATCACATCCGTCAGCTGCCCATTCGTCATAATCAAACTTGCTTCCACGTGTATACTGCATTCCATTTAGAATTCCCGAACCTCCGAGTACACGGCCACGCGGCCAGTACCCTTTGTTGTTTTGCATTCCTTGAAAGCATTGTGTCTGTTTTTCCGTATAATATTCCCAGTCATATTCGGAATGCTGAAGAGGTACCCAGGTAAGTGGTGTGTGCGTCAGTGGACTATCAATAAAATGTGCCCCTGCCTCTAATAACAAAACGGAAGTGTCACTATCTTCGGATAGCCTCGACGAGACTACGGAACCTGCCGATCCACCACCGATAACGATGTAGTCATATTCGTCAGATATTTCATCTGTGACAATTGAAGAATAGTCAGTGCTAGGGAGCCACTGATACACAAATGCAAGCAGTACACACGTCAAGCCAATACCAACCTGAGCTGACACCGCCATTATCCTGCAAGGAAATGAATAAATTAATTTTAAAGTTGTAGACAACCCTCCAACAGGAGTGTTTACTAGTGCACTACCACTACCACCACCAACAACAACACCACTACCACTACTACTACTAATGCTAAGATAGTATTTTCTAGTGAACTACCACTACCACTACCTCAACCACTACTACCACTACTACTACCACCATCACCACTACTACCACCACCACTACCACCACCACCACCACCTTCGTAACTATGTAACTACTACTACTACTAAGACATTTAACTCCTCATTAGGGATTCTTCATCAAGTAAAGATTGATAGATCATACAAAACGACGTTGAAGAAATCAAACTCTAGTTAAGACCCAAAGTTTATATGTATATCGTTCTTCTCTTTTCTATGTACATGACAAAGATTTTATCCTGATCACTAAAAATAGTTGGGCACGCGATTGGATGCTTTTTGTAAAAGTAAGTTTTGGAACTAACCATGGTCAACATTGGTGAAACTTTATCTTTCACATATGTATGTTTAATTCCTTCTAAGAGTGCAATGCGTCAGCGCATATTGACCGGAATAATTTCGTTGAGCATTTATGTTGCTGCGCAATTGCTCCGCCTCTTTTCATTGTAAAACAAAAGTACAAATACTATGCCAATTTAACATGTTCTATAAAAGTTATAACTCCTTCGTACGTAGGAGATAAAAAAACAACCCTAATTAGGAGTTTACAACTCCTACGTAGGACGTTATAGGACTTTCTTTGTATCTCTTTCGTAGGCTATAAAAAAAGTCTGATTAGGAGTTTATAAGTGCTACGTGTGACTTTGTTACTCCTACATAGGAGATAAAAAAAAGCCTAATCAGAAGTTTGAAACTCCTACGCAGAGCTTTATAAGTGTTCTCCTACGAAGGACTTACAAATTCCTACATAGGACTTAAAAAGCACTACGTAGGATTTATGAACTCCTTATTATTGGGCTTTTTTTATCTCCTACTCAAAGATTTTGAGTTATAAAGTCCTACGTAGGAGTTATAAAGTCCTACGTAGGAGTTATAAACTCCTAATTAGGCTTTTTTTTTAGATTGAACATTGTGTTTTTTCCTTGACTTTCTAGTGCTGTTTATGGTACCTTCCGGATTGGAACATCACATTGTATTTTGTATAGGTTAGTGTTTGCAGGGTACCCTTTTAAATAGAACTTCACTGGTATTTCAGCATTAAGCATTTACAAAATAACAGCACCCTTACCAAATGTATGCGCAACTGTTGATCAATTTACTCATATGAATAATAGGTGATGTTCCAAAGTAAAGTGATATTAAAATATTGCCTTTCTATTGTACAAAAAAATTAATTTCAAAAACTAATATTCAATAAGAATTTTTTCCATCAATGAATCCATTTTAGATACTAAAGAGGTCAGTACAATTAAAATTTCGTTTAAGAAAAATATAACTGCCATAAAAAGTTATTAAAAGCAAATGACCAATCATTTCATCTTAATAAACGTTGAAAAACCTGTTATTAAAAACGCGATTCATGTAATATAACTTTTATAGAACTCGCCATCATTTTAATTTACAAAAAAATAATTTTCAATTTCTTAATTATAGGCCTTTTGCAAAGAAAATGGAAAAAAACAAAGATAGTAAAATATGGTGCACAATGTAACACATCTATTTGCCACTATTTGTGACAGTAATTTCATTAGACCTTTCAATCAATTATGCAGTTTAAATTTGAAGTCAGCCAAGCATGTTGATAGATAAAGATCTCTGCCAAGCCCCCAGGCAGGAGATTAACAACTGGATGACAGCAATTAATGTTTTGATAAGGGAGTACACTACAGCCAATAAAGTTTGAAACTGACAAAAATATATTCCAGCCCAGCTGCTAAACGTATTTTTGGGCCGAGCTGGGGGGCTGAAGCCCGGGCCTGAATCCGCCACTGTCAGTTTTATTGGCACCTGGACGCTTCCGTAAAATACTGTCATTCAAATTCTGGATTGATATTAATTCAGAAAAAATAAACACCCAATAAAATTGAAGTCAGAATGTTAATGTATAAGCATTATCAATCGATTCAAATTGTAATTATCTGATAGAGAATTCGAAAACTGCATGGTTACATTTTCAATCCCGGAAAATCCCCCAAAAAAAACTTCAATACGGGACTGCAAAGATATTTTTTACTTTCCCCAAAAAGGATAATGAATGATTAAAAAGTTAACGTGTACAATATACTTTTGAATGTTTTTTTTTTAAATGATTCCAATGTGCATTGTAAATTATTCCTTACTGAATATATAGAATCTACCGGACATGACTAAAATTTTCGGCAAGGAATTATTATACATGTGTTTTGGCGAGGACAACAACGAAAAACGGCCCATTCTTACATGTTAATTACTTACGACAAGTAATTACACCTTTAAATTGACTGTTATAAATAATAATTGATTTGAGCTGTTTATATCGTTTTTCTTTACATTATGATTAGTTCTACAATAAATTGGTTCAATTGACATTACGCCAGACGCCCAATTATTCACGTGACCCGGCCATTCAAAACATTAGACAAAACACGGTACCGACGTTTACAGAAAACTAATATGCCACTAAAGTGACTAATGAATTAACATTATATAAAATTTTGATGCTTTTCTTGGATAGTTCAATGTACGTATTATAGTATTTAAAAAAGTAACAAATGACTGCATTCATGCATTAATTATGAATAAAACATTTGGCAAAGGTCTTGTTATATTTCTGGTTGACTTCAAGGCAGATGTTTCTGACAAAATATCATTTTAGTTTACAAATTCAAAGCTAGTTAAAATTGATGTAGCGGAACATATAAATAGTAAAATCATATCAATAACACTGTAACATTTACAAATGTTTTTAGGGTTTTATGTGCAAAATCACTTATATATAATGCATTTGTGCATAAATTGTTAAAATTGAATGAGAAAATTGGCCTTGCGTAACTTTGTAGTATGATATATGATTATATGCATATATGTACATTAGATATGTTTCGTGATAAAACGCAATATTATTCACTCCAAAATAAGGAATGGTTAGATGCTAAAAAGTAAACAAAATAAATAAACGCTTGCAACTGTTAAAGATATACAATTTTTTTATTTAGCGTCTAATTAACTTCGTCCCGAAACAAACTACGAGCCCCTCGTATACTTTAGAAGATGTATATCTGATTACTGGGCAAGTTAATTTGGCCCTCTCTTAAAGATAAAAGTTACTTTTAATTACACTATGTATTCATAATATGTTTACCTATAGAGTGTTAAGTTTAAAAAGGAAAACATATTCTCTGTGTACACTCAAAAGAGGTTTATTTTACCTAACTTGCAGATATTAGTATTTTCAAGTATAAAATTTAAGCATAATAGTTCTTTAAATCTGTAAGTTATGATGATCTTCAAACAAGACAAAATGGTTTCTGTCAATACTGCATACGTTTGTTTTCATTTGCATGTTCCAAAAAGACCCAATGTTTACAAACAACAACAGCAACACAATACACAAAGGTATTTTGTTCAAGCACATTAATTGTTGTAAATTTTGTAAGCATTTTTGTTGCAAAAAAACCAAACAAATTAACCTGGACAAAACTTTAGAGGACGATATAATATTGTGTCAAGTATGCAACAATTTTCTTGTTATACTCAATACACAAGGCAAGACTGTTTTTCGCAAATTTTGCTATAAGCAGCTCCAGTTGATGGGTGACCACTCAAATACAAGTAGAGGGAAGTCTGTATTTTGTATTTAAGACGTATTTTGATACAGAAAATGCATTTTGGGCTCGATTTAGTGGCTAATTAATATCAACATCGTTCGCAAATGTCAACAAATACGCTACAATTTATTGCCAATTTAACAAAAAGTATTCAATTTACAGAGAAAAGCAAAAACTGCTCTAAAACCAGACATATTTAGCTTCACGGAAAAATCGATTAAGTTATGATAGAGAAATAAGTTGGAACATTACCTCGGGTGAACCCGACGAACACCTTTTGACTCGTTTTCGATGTTTTGAGGGGCTATTTCAGGTACACGCTGTACAACAGTGATTTTGCTGAAAAAAATAGTTTAAGTCCCAGCTAGAAACAAGTGTGCAACCACTTCACACCCTACTTGTTTGAAAATGCATTCTGTAGTGCAGATATGCATAAGAAAATAATAATATATATAATGTATTTAGATATAAATAACAACCACCTACTTTAGTAGCAAAGCCGTGTATCACCTATATACACCTTCAAAAGTTTAATTGATATAGGTTATAAACTCGGCTCTTTCCGTCAAACTTCGGATTAGAACTACAAGTAGTAAGAATACACAGAACGGGTCTAACCTACGCAAAGAACAAATAGTAACTTAATGCTATGTATGAGCAATTTATTCCAATGTAGCAAGTAAAAGTCCTTCTAAATTTAGTAAATTTATAAATATAAAAGTAAAAAAGTACATTATTTTACATACTAGTGCTTATTATTATATTAAACCGAAAGATGTTGACATTAATTCGGATTTGGTCTGTGGTGATTATGATTGTCAAACATATTTTAGGTCACAATTTTACGAAAATAGACTTTATTTTCCTTTGGGTGTCAATATACACACTCTGTTTTTTGTTAACACCAAAAACTGTTCCTAGAACATCTGACTTATGATGTCAATTTTTTAGTTCCTGATAGTGCCCATTAGGGTCCTAATACCTTAAGTCCGGGCTATCAAGAAGAATAGCCGAGATGTTCCGATTGGGTAATGAACGTACGAAAATAAACTTATCTCACAGTAGCATCAGCATATCTTGATATGAATGAACGACCTAATTGCCGAATGCCTAGATATAGCGTGACACATATTCATGCTCACAAGGCGGTGATATCTGTAACTGGTAGACACACTGACCTTCTTTTCTAAGTGTGTCTTCATAATTGTACATTGTCCACATGTGATGAAACATTTGTAAAGTAGAACATGTTAATGCATTAAACCGTTTGAATTGAATGTTTATTTTACGGTCGCGCAGATAATCAACTAGTTGAAAAAGATGCCGTGATTTTATTAAGTATTTGGTGCAGTTGGATAAAACTTAAAAATATATAATAAGTTCAATAAAATCAAACGCTTTTCTTTATTGTAGCTTTCGACGTTTTGTCTTCTTCGTATAATGTGTATATATCACTATTTTATGTATATTTATTGTATCGTACATGTATTATAAAACTTATAAGCAATATATTATATGTATATTCTATGTATATATATTGTATTGTATTATAAACAGCAAAGCGATGATACTGAAAGTTATAATGGTAGGTACTGGAAAAGCTACATTATGTTAAAGGAAATTTCAAATTTTTGTGAAATGCAACTATAATATCATGAAACAGGTTCAAAGCTAAAGAGGAACAAGGTGAAGATGCTCTCAGAGGTCTCAGAGCGATGGTTATCGACAAGATGTATTGTACCGAAATGCATAACGTTTTTAACTTGATTAATTATGAAATTATGTTGTTGTTGTTGTTGTTGTAATCATTATTTACGTTGATAACATTTATTATTTCACACCTTATAAAAAAAACCAATGCACTTTCGGCATTTGCATCACGTGATGTTCCAATTGAAATCAAGTTAGCCTCGTTTTCATTTCCAGTTTCCATGCCTCGTTTTCATCTCCAGTGTCCAAAAGGTTCATATCAAATCCATATTGACACCATCTAACCTCATTTTCATTTTTGAGAGCCCAAAATCCATTTCAAACCTTTTTGTTATTGAATTTACAAAATTCTGTCAAAAATGGTGGTGTTGAATATAGAGGTCATGAAACATATTTGAGAGCGATACTGTTTCTATTGGACTACACAAGTGCAAAACCTGTGTCAGACTAGGCGACCGCCTCGTCCTATATAATTTTTGTGTACTCGTCAAATGGAAATTCATGCTCGCCCATACGGTTTCTTTCCGGTGGCAAGGGTAAATAAACCCAAACACACACAAAATTGGAAATTCTGCCGAAATGTATATACTTACGTATTAAAACCATGAACACGTACCAACTAATTCGACGTATTTATCATCATTATTATCATCATCATCATCATTATCATCATCGTCATTATCTTCATCATCATAAATGGTACTATTATTATTTTATATTATTACAGTATATCACGGGGAGGAATCACGCCGTTCGTTACCCAAACAAACAAGATGGCGGATGCAGCCAAAAAGTAGGTTTTTCCTTTTTTTCTCTGAAATTCATGATGTTCTTGTGTAAAGGTACATATAACAAGCTTCTACACAATTTTCCTGGCACACAGAAATTTATTTCATGGTGTTTCGTCCCGTAGTTCTTCTGAAATGCGCGTCACCAGATTCGAAGCGAGAGAATTTTCAACCGGTTTGATCGTGGTAACGTACGGCTTCTTCACTCAAATTCGCTGTTTTGTTTACATATATGTATATTAACTGAAACCACTGACTTTAAAAAGTTGTAATATGTCGGCATCTAAGCATCCATGGCCATTCTGGCTAGAATAACCGCTGAAAATATTAAAATCGGGGCATTTTCCGGAAATGATAACGAATGGCTTGACAACGAAGGTTGTTTTTTTTTTCAGAGAAAAAAGGGAAAAACCTACTTTTTGGCTGCATCCGCCATCTTGTCTGTTTGGGTAACGAACGGCGTGATTCCTCCCCGTGGTATATAGTCCTCTCAATTACATTTGCAATGCATAGACTCATAAGCGCATTTTTTCTTGAAATGTAAAGAATCTATCAAAACGATTAAAATTACATTGCTTGTAAGTTGAGCTGAACAAATTATATATGGTCATTTACCAATAATTGATAATAAAACATTTTTTGTCAAACATATAAACGGCCTAATATATAAAAAGACTGTCCCGGGCCATTAAGCCCATTATACATTACCGGAAGTCTATAGATATTTCCTTTTGTCACGTGCATTATACATGTGAAAGAATATTGCATTATTGAAAAGTACTGTGTTAAAATCTGAAGTAAATATTAACTTTTACAATTTACCTGCATGTATATACTCATCAACATTTTCACTTTGATTTGCATAAAAACTTTATTTAATTATGTAGGAAGCAAATGGGAGAAATTAGCAATATGTATTTATCATACTACATTTTTTGACATTTATAAAGATGACATGTTGTTTAAAATTTGGAGGAACATGTTATTTGCTAAGGCATTTCTAACAATTATATGAATTTTAACAATTGAAGTTTGATCATCATTCAATGTTTTTATGCATATCCAGGTTAAGTTGTAGCATTTACATGTAAAATTATGTGAGAACCTCCGTGGCTGCTGGTTTCAAATCCCTTGTCGATCACCGACCTTGAACTCCACGTGAGCTAGGAAGCTATGCATATAGCTGGAGAAAGGTCACCAGTTGCAAGTTTCAGCTCGTACCTGACGTCTCTCTTCACTAGTACAGCAGAAAAACCCTCTTGATGTTTATAGTGTGTGCATGTCGGCAAAATAAACAAATAAACAAGCACCCCTCCCTAACCCAAACAAATAATAAAAACTTCAGTTTGAACGGTAACAAGTCGAGAGATTTAAAAGGAAACAATTTCTATATATTACATGCCTTGGTTTAACAAAAACTGAAACTAAAAAGGAAGTTTGTGTGTTACTAACTACGGCATATTTACAAGCTATGGAGTATGGCATGAATGCAGCTTGTACGATCATCACACGTTGCCGGCTATCTCTTTGTGATTCTCCTCGAGGCTGATAAACATGCGTACTCAATAAGAAATTTAAACTTCAAAAAGTCCATGTTCGTGTTGTTCTTTTAGTTTTGTATTAATTCCTTAAAAATACCTACATATGGATGTTGCTAATTAATTTTTGTATTGATAACAAAAAAAACGTCACCGATTACCTCTGCTCTGAACTTTGTTCCATGTAAAAATTGTTAAGTACGCGTTACCTCCCTTTAGCTTGTATTTTATAGTTTCAAAACATTCCATTTCTGTTGGTGGAAATAATTAATGTTGTACGTGATTTTACGGGTTGTAAGTTATAATTTGTAAATTAAAGTTTTGAAACTTTGAAAAATTCTGATGTGATGATAGTAAATCACACGAAAAGAAGGACATTAATGACATATCTTAAAATATATTAAAATTAAAAATTTTAATCGTGTTTGCATTTAGTGTACAGATTGAACAGTGCGATGTCTTTTTTAAATGTTATGGTAGATTTAAAATGAACTAGATAATAATCCCAGTAACAGATAGATATGCTGATAGATTTACTTTTATCAAAATCAATGTTGATCCAAACCATCGTCAGCCCAAGGGTCAGTTACTATTACCTTTAAAGTTTTAATGGATTCATTGAAGACTCGTTTACTGAGATATATTTCTTTTATAAAAAACAAAACACAAATACAATAGCTGCTTTAAAAAAACAGTTCTAAATGAATCTAAACACACTTCTTAAAACTGAAATAAACACAGTAGTTTCAGAAATATTCATTTGAATTTCCTAACTCTGATGGCACCAAAATATTTTGCAAACTTCTAAATCTAGGGTCATCAGTAAGTTTCGGGTAAAAAGAGTGCATCGGTAATAAGTCCGACAAAAATCCGTCATCGTCTATTGTATGGTAAACTTCCGTTTTACCCGACTTTGCTTTCACTTTGAAAATCACGTGACGTTTATCATTGTCAATGGCTGGCAGCTTAATTCCACCAAGATTGTCGCTTTCATTATCTTCATTTGTTAAAACTTCACTGCTTGCTTCCTTTGTTATGTGAACTGGAAGTGACTTTGGTCTCACATTTGAGCGCTCACGCGGATTTTCCACCTTGGAACCATTTGCAGTACTACTTTTTGTTTTAGTCCTACTTCCGGCGGTTAGTGCCAGTATCTGCTGCTGTCTTTTATTCATACGCATTGTAAAAGAACGCTGATGCAAGTTGATGATTCTACTAATACGTTCCTTCTCGATCTTAATATGCGCCAGTTTTATGTCTAACATATGTTCTTGTGTTGCATTGTCGTAGAGAAGAACTCTTGATACTTTTGATTTAGGAAGCAGTGATCTTTTCTGGTTGCCATAATTCGGAGCTATCAGAGGAGGTCTGTGCATGTATTTAATGTTTATTTCTTCTTTCGGTTGCTTCAAACTATTGTTCTTACCTCCTGTTGGTCGTGACATTTTGATTCACTGAAATGTACAAAATAATGCGTTATACTTCCCTTCTTAATAGTTATGATCTTTTCCCCTTTTTCCTTTAACCCTTTTAGCAGTTTGATTATATTACATTATATCTAGTTTTGTTCAATAGTTTAAAATGCACTAGTTCTTGTTCATTCCCAAACGTTTATTCTAAAAAAAAACACTACCCATTTGACAACTGCAACGAAATCCCATTAATTGGTGACATATAATTAGCACTTTCTACCTTACACGAGTGTAACCCCATACCATGTTGAATATTTTAGTGAAAATTTTAAAATATGTAGTGGCGGAATAGCGAACAGTGCATCTACTGTTTAAGGTCCCTTAGGTACTACACATATAATACAATGTACTACGTAAAAAACCCTAAACACACATTCCAAATCTTGCAGTCAGAATCTTTTAATAACAATCATTACAAACTGGCAGTTATTATACATAAATAGAAAACTTACTTAATTAACAAATTCCCATAATTCAAATTTATTTTATAAAATTACATCCCACAGATAGAGCCTGGGTATTATCTCCGAGTCAAAATGAATTTGAAATTTAAAAATCTGACTGACATGTGGTCGATGTGTACATGTCATAGTATTTGTTTATCAATTATTTTATCATATGAAATATTTGAACTTTATGAGACACCAAATAGAAAACATCGTTGTCACAAAACAATCTGTGCAAACATGCTCTGTTATTGAAACCCACTTGAGGACTAATTCATTTATAGATTGTCTGATATCGTCGGACCTAACTCTACTTCATTTAAGGTTTAATTAAAAAATGTAGAGCGATTTTTTAAATGTTATAGCATAATGAAAAAGTAAAGATTATATAGGGAAACGGTCTGTAAGAGAATTTCAGCGCACGATGGCATGTTGATACACATTGAGTGAGATTGTTCAGTGTTTTATCTAAGAGGATATACAAGTATAATGAATTTCACGTCCACTGACTCGTGCCTAAAACAAAATAAGATTTTGCCCATTACTTCATCCACACCCCAACCCCTGCCCCTACCATGTCACCTTTTATAAATGCTTCATATCTTAGTGTCGGAATAAAACAAATATTGAGAATCGTGTATCTATACCAGTTCAGATTTTAATATTTTACTCCAACCAATCAATCAATCAATATGTATGCTTCAGAACTATATCAAGTTAAGAATCACCAAGGTGCCTTTGTTTATGTTATCCATTCAAAATATAATGTGTTGAAAATATTTACGAAAAAAAAGAAGACAAACTGCGATCGACAAAATATAAATGAAAAATCGTGTCATGCAGATTTGAAATATTCTGTAATAAACAAATACGGAAGAATATTGACGTGTTTATCGGGATATTATTGATTTAACACATTCATAGCAATTTAGTATCTATATATACACCATTTAACTATTTACTTTAAATCATTTTTATTTGCTTTAGCTTTAGATTAGGTTTGCATCACTTTGATAATATTGCGAAAAGGAGTTTACATTGACTGAAGTTTTAGATAGATCGTAAATTACACAAATACATTCAGTTTTTTATATATATAAATCAGATTTTAACTTAGATATTTCGCATTGATGGCCCTTATCATGCAAGTAAAATACAATTCATATGTACTTAACTAGCCTTACAATGAATTTACTTCTGATTAATCTATTTTAGTTAATCTGTATTTACTTTCAAAAAGGGACTTGTATGAAAAATGCTTTTCATGTCATTAAAAAAACGAGATGAAAAAGATAGAAAAATAACAAACACTTGTAGCAAAGTCATAATTATGTAAGGGTATTTCAGATCTATAATAGATTTTCGGTTTCACTCGTCATCTTAGAAGCTTAGCCTGGCCCCAGAAAGTCTATAACCGAAATATGATCTGTGCACATCTGAATAATTTAAAGCGCTGAAAGAACATTTTCGGTCCTTTTCGTCATACTTGATTAAATGAAATTGTCGAGGTCAGCCTAATGCTAAAAGATATGCACGAGATTGGTTTCGGCAATCAAACCTGAAAGCATTGTAGTTTCGGTTGATGCTTTCAGTAATAAAACAATATATTGAATACAAATCTAATGCACCATCGTATATTTCCATTTTCAAACAATTACAATAAACCCCGAAACGCGACCATACATGTGTTTTTCTATTTGGCTACCCGCATTTAAAGAAGGCAGTCGGAAGCATTATTATTTCATATATGCATGGCATAAATAAGATAATATTGATAATATACAATCGTAACAACTCGGTTTTCTCCGACAACTTCGTGAGAAAGTCTTATTGAAGTAGCTCGAGGTGTTGCAAGCGGATAATATGAACAAGGCAAAGTCTCAAAGCTAGTTTTTTTTCTCTCTTTTAAAGTCAAAGTGATCATAAGTAGAACTGCAGTTGATAACTTGTGTCAAACAAATTTGACAAAGAAAAAGTCTGGAAAAGGGAGACCCTTCGACGCGAGAATTCAATGGAAACAAAAGGTGAAAAATTCTCTGTGAAAAAAAATCTGTAAGATCTTCCATTTGAATATGTTAGTTTTCAATAAAATTGTGTCTTTGTGTGTCTGTGGGTGTGCTTTTTTGTTGTTGTTGTTTTTTGTGGCTTTTTTTATTGTTTTCTTTTTCAGATGGAAAAAGAAGATTTTTTGACGCTTGAGTTACCGGTGGAATACGAATCGTTATTGACAAACTTGACTGGCGTGTCCTTAGTTTATATATTAGAATGAGAACATGTACTTTAGATTCCCGTTTCTATAAATAACTTTAATGTATTTTATATTTTTTCTAATTACAAAAGTTTACACAAGGTTTGGGATCTATGTCAACGTAGCAAGCCAATGAAATCTTACAATTATGGTAGCGATGGTGTTGGTGTTGTTGGTTTACCCTCCGTATCACGGCAACGCGCTACCTTGTATTCACCAGAGCACAGTTCAGCCACCGCACCAATATAGGGTCCAAGATAATAAAGAAATCATCTAAGCTCAAACTCAGATCTCAGGTATTTGATTGGTCAAAAACTGCCACAAAATGTATACTGACCAATGAAAATCCTGAAATTTGAGACTGAATTCAGGGAAAGTTTCATAACCTTAAGGCCTGGACAAGCTATAAAGCAGTTTACCAGTAAACTATGCCTTCACATTGGCAAGGAATTCCTGGTTACATCTATACATGCCAGAGCAAGGGTACATTCGAGTGACCGTAGAAAGGATTTCATGATCATTCACACCGAAAATGACAAGCATCGTTTGGGGAATTGACTCCCATGCAGTCGCCCGATTGACAGTCCAACGCTCTACCAATTGAGCTCATCAGGACGCGCTACCTACTTAAAATTTGGAGGAACATGTTATTTGCTAAGGCATTTCTAACAATTATATGAATTTTAATAATTGAAGTTTGATCATCATTCAATGTTTTTATGCATATCCAGGTTAAGTTGTAACATTTACATGTAAAATTATGTGAGAACCTCCGTGGCTGCTGGTTTCCAATCCCTTGTCGATCACCGACCTTGAACTCCACGTGAGCTAGGAAGCTGTCCATATAGCTGGCGAAAGGTCACCAGTTGCATGTTTCAGCTCGTACCTGACGTCTCTCGGGAAAAACCCTCATGATGTTTATAGTGTGCGCATGTCGGCAAAATAAACAAAAAAACAAACACCCCTTCCCCAACCCAAACAAATTTTAATATTTTACTCCAACCAATTAATCAATAGATTTGCTTCAGAACTATATCAAGTTAAGAATCACCAAGGTGCCTTTGTTTATGTTATCCATTCAAAATATAATGTGTTGAAAATCTTTACGAAAAGAAGAAGACAAACTGCGATCGACAAAATATAAATGAAAAATCGTGTCATGCAGATTTGAAATATTCTGTAACAAACCAATACGGAAGAATATTGACGTGTTTATCGGGCTATTATTGATTTAACACATTCATAGCAATTTAGTATCTATATATACACCATTTAGATATTTACTTTAAATCATTTTTATTTGCTTTAGGAATAGATTAGGTTTGCATCACTTTGATAATATTGCGAAAAGGAGTTTACATTGACTGAAGTTTTAGATAGATCGTAAATTACACAAATACATTCAGTTTTTTTTTTATATATAAATCAGATTTTAACTTAGATATTTCGCATCGATGGCCCTTATCATGCAAGTAAAATACAATTCATATGTACTTGACTAGCCTTACAATGAATTTACTTCTGATTAATCTATTTTAGTAAATCTGTATTTACTTTAAAAAAGGGACTTGTATGAAAAATGCTTTTCATGTCATTCAAAAAAACGAGATGAAAAAGATAGAAAAATAACAAACACTTGTAGCAAAGTCATAATTATGTAAGGGTATTTCAGATCTATAATAGATTTTCGGTTTCACTCGTCATCTTAGAAGCTTAGCCTGGCCCCAGAAAGTCTATAACCGAAATATGATCTGTGTACATCTGAATAACTAAAAACTCTGAAAGAACATTTTTGCCTCTTTTCGTCATACTTGACGAAAGGAAATTGTCGAGGTCGACCTAATACTAAAAGATATGCACGAGATATGTTCGAAATTTGCGCCAATCATACTTAAAAGCCTTGTAGATTCGGTTCATGCTTTCAATAATAAAACAATATATTGAATACAAGCGTATATTTCCCTCAATAAACCTCGGATCGCGACCCTACATATGATTTTCTATTAGGCTACCCCCTATTTAAGAAGGCAGTCGGAAGCATTATTATATATATTTGCACGGCATAAATACGAATTTTTACACGCACATAAAATCTTAAATTGAACTTTAATTTAAAAAAAACTTACTTCTCCGAACATATTTTTGTCAGTTCTCTTTCTTTTAGTATGATCGATGACATTTTTTTTCTTGCGTTGTAGATTAAATTATTAAGAGGTTAATACACGGCAGGAGAGGGCCGGAAGGTGATAATCGGCCCGCAAAATGAATAATGGACCCGAGGGCTTTAG